ACCTCCCATCCCCGTTCTCTCAGCACTCCCCGACTCCATCCATCGTTCTCGGTTCCAGGAAGAGGACAAGCGCCATGGGAAAGAATACTGAGGAACCCGTACGCTCTTCCTCCTATTTTGTTTTGTGTGGCAATTTTGGGGGGTGAGATGGTTTTGGATGTGTGAGTACTTATTCTTGTTTTTGTTCGACAAGGGTTTTTGTCTCTCGACTTCATCCATTCTTGCTACGACCTTTCACCTCGCTTGCAAGACTCCTTCCCAAACGAGACAAATTCCCTTCCTCGATGGCATAACCTACGCTAATTCTTCATGCAGTACACACTACATACCCTTCGACCTTTCTCTAGCGACTCTCCAGGTCATCATCACCACGCACGTCGCATACGCAGCGTGTGTAGTCTTGGGTGGTGTATTATTGCAGACTGCACCTGCAGCATCGTTCACAATGAGTGCTGGCAGCGTGGGTGGTATGGGCACGAAAGGCATGGGTATAAGTTCAAGAGGCACAAACACGCCAGAATCCAAAATGGAGTCCTTTTGGCGCGTCGTCCGCGAAATTGAGCGACATGAACACGTCACGAGTCTTCCTGCTCCGCATGTGTGGCAGGTGGGTCCGCTTGGACGAGGGGAGATGAGGTCTTCTGGGTTAGGGTCTGCATCTGCGTCACAGTCTGCGCCAGGGTCCTCCTTTTCGTCGGTATTCCCGTCTGCGCCACGATCCACTCTCTCACCCTCTGACTCCTCATCGCCCTTTTCCAATGTACCGAGAGGGCCGGAACCGCAGTTGATAGTTACACTCTCGCCACATGTCCCGTCTTCGTTGTGCGATGAAGAAGTCTTGAAGTTTACACGGTGGGCGTGTGAGAAGGTCAGGGGGGCGTTCGTGGGTGATGGAACGAGGGGGGTTGGAGTGGAGGTTGAGGTTTGCGTGGGTGTTCTTAGGGGATAGGTAGTACATGGGGAAGGGGAGATATAGCGGACCTTCTTACGTTTACCTTTTCCGGCTACGCTGAATACCCTTCTCGCTCTGACAGGTCAAGAATCGCAAAGTATTGAGGTGATTTTGCCGTGCGCCCACAGTGATACGAAGTTAACTAGTGCCGCCCTGCATAATTAGTTCAGTCGACATGCATGCGACGAGACCACGACAGGGTGACTCATACGAAACGACTCCTCGACGTTCAAGTTCTCTGGGAAGTTGGAACGCCGGTTAACCAATGGTCAGGCACTCGACAGTTTCCAAACTGCTGCTTTTTGGTTTACCAAATTTCTGGCATGTGTCACCCAAGATAGGGTCAAAACCTCCGAGCGCTACTAATAATAGCGTACCGCAGGTTCACGATTCATCAAGTCATCTCAGAAAATACCCAGGCACTCCTATGCAACTTGCCCTTTTATCACAACGCGCTGACGGTGGTTCGACGCGGCCTATTATGACGCGCCCCGATAAAAGCAGCACTTCCCGAGCTCATCCTGATGCACGATGCCAAAGCATTAATGGCTTGGCGTTCCCCCGCAAGGCTAGAGGCTAGAACCTCTTGTGGCACACGACCGCATCATAAGCGAGTCCCTATACACCGCGTATATGGCAGCTGTATCCAATTGGACACTCGCTAGTCATGATTCGACACGGCGTGTGCGTGACGGAATGAATACTGTTTCCACCTCTCCTCTTTTCCACGTCAAGATCTATTCCGTTTCTTTGCCCACCAGCGTGATGTGAACTCGCTTAGAGTGTTGCAAGAATCAAACTGTGCCCACCCTGTCCCTCGCTCGAATGTGCAACTATAGCAGATGGGCCAGCTATTCATTTCCGGAGGAAATATAGCAGTAGGGCATTCATGTCAATGATTTCATAATGACTATATGTCAAGTACAACATATCCTTTTAATTCTCTTCGATCCCTGTCGATGGTCGGTCTTCGTCCCCGACTTTATAAGTTGAGGTGCTGTCATCTTGAGTAAATTGGGATATCCGGACCCCTAAGGGCCTCGTTTGATATTGCATGTTTCTCTGTTCTATCTCCTCGGTCGTTCGTCTCGGGAGGTGATGTCGACAACTGGTCGCGAGGCGAATAATCACCATGTAGAAGGTGATCGATATGATAGGTACGGCCTAGTCAATCAGTTCTCAGCGTTTTTCCACATGGAAGAGGTAAACGGCGGATTCACTATATCCGTTATAACAGATTGTCCGTTGTTCTCGACGAGGAAACAAATCAAAAGGCCGAATAGCATCACAGAGTACAAAACAGCAGCATCCATAAGGATGCGCACAATTGGCATCATAGTGCTCTTCGAAACACGTATTTTAGATACGCGACGTTCAGATTTCCAGATACGATATATCAGTAGTCCTGGACACTTTCAGGGCCTCGACATCGTTCACGGCAACGCGCTTACCTGAACACAACAAATTACTTGTAAGAGTCGATGCAATGAATGATATGATCCACTTTGCATCTTCGACGGCGAAGACATCTCCGGGATTGGAAGTGGCTTGCGAATTCACGTAGACTGCGCGAATGCCAGTCACTACGAGGCAGTATCAGACCACACAACTTCCAGAGTATTATTATAACCCGACCTATGATGGCACACCATAGCAAACTTGGTAGGATGATCACCCGGACGGATCGCCAAAGAACATAACAGCGATGAATCTTTTGCAAGACAAGGCATTTCTATAAGTTCACGAGCAAACCAACACAGAAACGCACCATCACGCCATCAGCAAGTACAGTCTGGGAAATGTATAACGCGTGTTTGATCACATATGTCTCTTCCGCAATATCTGCGAAGTACGCCGGTGGCCCGCCTAGCCACGTATCGCGATACTTCACCAGTCCATTTTCGATATGAATGATAGTCATGACCATGTGCTTTGGAATTGTCAACCAATAACATCATACTATGTTAGAAGCGAAAAACTAACCGCAGTGCTCACTAACAATAGCAGGAGGACCACCACAGCGACTGGGCGATTGACATCCCGCATCCGACGTTTGTAGGTCAAGGCCCAGATAGTGCCGATAAACATGAGGACTGAAAAGCCTAGAGAGGAGAGCCTAGCTATGTGAGCATGGAACGAAGAAACTCATTGCGATACTCACCATAGAGAATGCCCTCCAGTATTGCTGACATCAAAGCGCTGGTATCTGCAGGGAGGCTATTCATAGCGAATCTACAATCCAACTAGGGGGTGTGGAAAGTGTAGGCCCATCTGTGCCAGTTTCTGTGTATCATTAAATATGTCATTGTGTCAGGATTTGCACAGATTCATCCGCAGTGGGAGGAACTCGGTAATGGATATCGTGGCGACATTCGCTCACTGTATCGTGATGCGTCGCTTTCGTCTATCAATTGGTCTACCGGAGCTATGATATCTTCGGTTGAAGATGCAGGAGGGACGAGTTCAGAAGATTGTCTTCAATATAGCTGGAATAGGAGTGATTAAAGTGAACCTCACCCTTGGACTGTCATTTCTCCGGTACCTGTTGTATAAGCCCATAAATATATCCTTCGTTCTGGCTACTTATCAACCGATATCATAGACATAGAATGCACGCGCATATTTAGTCCCAGGGGAACATCCCACGGAATCCTATGCATTCGGAAGGTGAGTTTGAATATCAAAAATAGAGGGCACGAAAGTTTACCAAAGGTGCAACATCTATGTGCGTCGTGAATGTAGAATACAAGATAAACATCGAAGCCGCACAAATACAAAAGAGTACTAATAGGACATGTAGAAATTTACCTGTGAACGTTAGCTAACCTTTTGAACTACTTTCATGGTGCGTCGAAGTAACTACGCCCCAAGCTAGACTGCAGGGAATTGGACCTACTACTATGTGATTTCTTTCTCCACACCATGTTAAGAGCACGTCTGCCGATGATGATTCAGTTTATATATAATGATTATGCCACAGCCTGGGAATGTTTACGTGCCCCCACATCGTTTTGCTTGGGAAGGTCTTCGCCTAGTCTTTGCAGCGTCAGGTTCGAGCCTTGGATATTGGGTAGTCTTCGATGCCCTAGATTTGTGGGCCCTTCTTGGGAGGGTTAGTTTGCGTTTTCTTCTCTCATCACCTGTAGGCAGACCAAAGTTCACCAAACAGAACAGAATGTGGTTTCGAACCAAACTAAAGACCAATAACTTAGATACGTCAGCCGAGCATGCCAAAGGAGCCAAGGAAATCAAGTCTTATGTATGACCGCTGCGAGCAGTAGCTAGTAAATTCGAGTTGTAATGTATCATAGGGAGAAAGTCATAATAATGAAACTATTCAGATGAAATTTGAGCGGCTGACTGTTTGTCACACTTGGTCACGTGACATAATAAGATGGATTGACACTGCGTACACATGCCACTGGCGTCATTTTTGATCCTCACCTGAAATAAAATAATGTTCCTGTGACATAAACTGCATAATGTCAATCAGGGCAATACACGAATGTACACGATATTGCAACAACAAAAGTTTTGGTGAGCAGGGGAATATAATTACAATAAAACGGACAACATATTGCAGAGCTATGTGCAAGCATAATGATATATAGAAGCACAAACAAAACTATGGGAAAATACAACACAAACGACATACAAGACACATTCAGTTTGGTTGCAAGTTTGATAGGGAGCCCTTTCCGGACTCTGCTGTGAATGCTGATGGCCGGTCTTCGATCCCTATTCCATAAGCTGCTTCATTGTCATTACGTGTGGATTTGAATTGCAAAGGCCGCATAGGATACTGCTGCATAGTGCCTGGATCTGTTGCATCGGTCATCCCCGGGCCTATAGTCGAGAGTTGACTGTGTTTTCTGTTGATTGCGATGCGAATAAGGACCATATAGAAGGTGATCGATATGATGGGCGTAACCTAGTAGTTCAAAGTTCAGCTTTTTTGTCGGATAACAGGTGTCAACGACGGAATCACCATCTCATATATAACAAGCTGTCCATTGTTCGAGCGCGCATAAGTGATCAATGAGGTCAAGAGCACCACAGAGTACAAAGCAGCAGAATCCACAAGCACGCGCACAATTGGCATCATAGTGTTCTTCTTGGCGCGAACTGTAGAGACATCATGTTCGATCATCCAAATGCGATATGCAAGTAATGCTAGACATGTTTAGGCCTTAGCACCACGCCCACAAAAACGTGCTTACCTGAACTCAACAAATTTGTTGCGATAGCTGAGGCAAAAAATGCAGTACCCCAATGTGCAGGTTGTCCGCGCTCGTTGTCATAGATTTTATCAGAGTCACTTGTGATGTGCGAAAGTTTGTAGTTTGCACCAACACCAGTCACTTCGATGCAATGTCAGAACACAATTTCATGAGTCATGAACATGCTCACGAACTAACCTGCAACACTGCACCACAGCATGCTCGGTAGGATAATGGTCAAGACTGATTGCCATACAACATAACATCGATAAATCTTTCGAGTGAGCCGGATGAATTCTGTGAGCCCAGAGGAACTGAAGCTGCTTCAAAAGCATGTACTCACCAATACCCCGTCAGCCAGTAGAGTTTGCAAGAGGTATAACGTGTTCTTGATCGTGATTGTATATTGAGAAGGGTCGGCAAAGAACGCCACTGGCCCACCCGGAAATGTGTCGCGATACTTCACTAGCCCATCTTCAACACAAATGATATTCACGACGATGTGCTTTGAGAACGTCAACACATAACAATATCATATGTAAGAGGCAAGAAGCGCTTACCGCAGTACTCAGTATGAACAGCAGGATAGCCACCACAATGATCGTGCGACTGACATCCTGTATGCGCTGTTTGTAGGTCAAAGCCCAGATACTACCGATAAACATGAGGATCGAAAAACCTAGGGAAGTGACTTTAGCTTGGTGGGCATAGGACGAAGGAAGTGCTTGTAGTGCTCACCATATGCCATGGCCTCCAGTGCTAATGACAGTAAATACGCAGCATCTAATGGCATGTTTGAAGCCATAGCAAAAATAAGATCTGCAGCTGTCTACAGCGTTGTAGATGCACAAAGATGCGGGGGCATATTTGCTAACCCCACGCATGTATCATTATATAGAAGGACGAGATTATCAAAGTGCCATCATGATAATGGCCCATCAGAGAGAGGTTGATGAAGGCAATCCTACTCAGTTCCCCGTTACCATGATTAGCTTCGGTTATTCCCGCTACCGTAACATGTAGACGATTGGTCCAATTTTGTTGTCGCTCTATATGGTTGAATCGATGTCTATGTGCATCAATAGCTATGCGGCTATCAAGGAACGGTGACGAGTTTGAGCAGGGACAAACGAGTATGTACATTTGTGAGTATGAAATGGTGTTAATGCTACAGAGGACATTACTGAATACGAAGCTAGGGTGAGTGATTGTTGTTTGGGTGTCTGGGCGAAAGCCCGCAGGGCTTTCCGGCCTGAAACTTGGGTCCGAACCTGGGCGTCGAAGTGAGCTGTGTGAGGGCGGGTGGGCCCGATCAGCTTACTTAGTTGGTGATAGCGACGTCTAGGGAGCGGCCACCAAGCGTCAGACAAATGTAGCTGGTTTGTCCAGAATTCAGCGCGTTTGTCTTGCGCTCTGATCTGGGAGAGGCGGGTGGGTGCAAAAAGAGTGAGAATTAGATACGAGCTTAGGATTGGAGGATGCTGCGAGGTGGGCGGAAGCAAGAAGCGCTGCGCCACCTCGCTTATTCGCACATAGACTAACTTCTGCGCTCGCCTCGTGCCTCGGCTCAGCACAGACTACCAACTTCCCGCAGGCTCGAAAAATCACCTGTGATTCACACGTAACTCTTGTAATTAGAGGTGGATGTTGCTCGCCAGGTAGTGTTGTTGGCTGCCGAATTTTGCCTGCCGGTTGCGCCCGGTGATGGGCAAAACTTGGCACAATGTTATCTCTCGGTTGAGACCTTTGAAATACTCGGCTAAATTCATGCAAACCTTTGAAACTACTGTGTGTCATAAAAGCTGTACAAGGCTGGACACGCTCACATGCACACTCGTGGCTCGAAAGATGTTGATCAGGCTATACCGTGAGTCTGGTAATGATACATCATATAACTCACAATACCCTGTAGGTATAATATATCAATGTCTAATATTGTAGAAGGCTCATGTTATATCAGAGTCTGCGGTCCATAGACCATGACGTATCAGTGATATGTTACATAGACTATTCCTGTAATGTATCACCTTCAGGCTCTTGCTCAAAGCTCGTGTGATATATCACCAAACCTGCGCATGATCTTGTATGCATCACCTTCGATCGGGCAGGCTTTGATCACTTACATACAGTCTCGAGTTTGGGGCTGTTTGTATCCAAATTCATGGGGACCCCTTACCATCATAGCAGGGTCCCCGATTTGTTAGCTAAATCCTCGCCCCCACGAGACTTGAGCGAGGACACTTAGACCCACTACAGAGGTAGTGGGAACTTTTTTTTGCCACCGGCGTCATTTTTGATCCTCACCTGAAATGAAATAATGCTCCTACTAGTATGGCATAAATAGCATGATGTCGATCAGGGCAACACTTGAATGTACATCACATCGCAACGACGAAAGTTTTGGTGAGCAGGGGAATACAATTACAATAAAACGGACTACATATTGCAGAGCTGTGTGCAAGCATGGATGGTATGTTATAGTAGAAGCACAAACAAGACTATGGGCAGATACAAAACAAATGACATACAGCACACATTCAGTTTGGTTGCAAGTTCGATAGGGAGCCCTTTCCAGACTCTGCTGCGAATGTCGATGGCGGGTCTTCGATCCCTATTCCATAAACTGCTTTATCGTCATTACGCGTGAATTTGGATCTATAAAATTGCAAGGGCTGCATAGAATACTGTTGCAAAGTGCTTGAGTCTGTTGCATCGGTCATCCCCGGGCCTATAGTCGACAGATGACTGTGTTTTCTGTTGACTGCTACGCGAATAAGGACCATATAGAAGGCGATAGATATGATGGGCGTGAGCTAGTAATTCAAAATTCAGCTTTTTTGTCGGATAACAGATGACAACGACAGAATCACCATTTCCTGTATAACAAGCTGCCCATTGTTCGAGCGCGTATAAATGATCAATGCGGTCAAGAGCGCCATAGAGTACAGAATGGCAGAATCCACAAGCACGCGCACAATTGGCATCATAGTGTTCTTCCTAGAGCGCATTGTAGAAACATCGCGTTCGATCATCCAGACCCGATACGCAAGTAACGCTAGATATGTTCAGGCCTTGACACCATGTCCACAAAAATTCGCTCACCTGAACTCGACAAATTTGTTGCAATAGTCGAGGCATAGAATGCATTAACCCAATGTGCAGGCGTCCCATGCTCGTTTTCATAGATTTGACCGGAGTAACTTGTGATTTGCGAAAAAGTGTAGATTATAGCAACACCAGACACTGCGATGTAACGTCATAAAACACATAAATCGTGAGCATGATCGCGAACTAACCTGCAACACTGCACCACAGCATGCTCGGTATGATGATGATTAAGACTGATTGCCATACAATATAACATCGATAAATCTTCCGAGTCAGCCGGACGGCCGTCTGTGAACCCAGAGGCATTTAAGCTGTTATAAAAGCATAAACTCACCAATACCCCGTCACCCAGTAACGTTTGCGAGATATATAACGCATTCTTGATCGTATACGTGTATTGAGCAGGATCGGCAAAGAACGCCACTGGCCCATTCGGAAATGTGTCGCGATACTTTACTAGTCCATCTTCAACACGAATGGTATTCACGATCATGTGCTTTGAGAAGGTCAACCCATGACAATATATGTAAGATAAAGAAGCGCCTACCGCAGTACTCAGTATGAACAGCAGGATGGCCACCACAATAATTGGGCGACTGACATCCTGTATGCGCTGTTTGTAGGCCAAAGCCCAGATAGTACCGATAAACATGAGAAGTGAAAACCCTAGGGAAGTGACTTTAGCTCGGTGGGCATAGGACGAAGGAACTGCTTGTAGTGCTCACCATAAGTCACGCCCTCCAGTGCTAATGACAGTAAGCACGCAGCATCCAATGGCATGTTTGAAGCCATGGCAAAAATAAGATCTGCAACTGTCTACAGCCTTGTAGATGCACGAAGGTGCGGGGGCATATTTGCGAACCCCACGCATGTGTCATTATATACTAGAAGAACGAGATTATCAAAGTGTCATAATGGCGTCTTAGAGAAGTTGATGAACTTGAACCATCCTAGTAGTAGCAGGCCGCTCAGTTCCCCGTTAGTAGCTTCGGTTATTCCCGCTACCGTAAGGGAGTTTCATGTTTTTGCTGTAGATATGATATATGATATCTTGGTCCAAGTTTGTCGCCCCTTTGTTGTCGCTCTATATGGTTGCAGTGGATGAATCGATGGTTTCAAGTTCCCGCAGGCTCGAAAAAATCTTTGAAGTTTGAACAGTTGCCACGCCGCTTTCTTAATCTATTGAAGGGAGGACCGCCCAATAGACTTTCCAGACTTTGAATATCATAGATACGTCCTTCGTACGTACATCCACATTCGCTTTATCATATGGACGTTCATCCACATTCACGATTCTTTAATATCAAAATATTTAGCGCCCACAATATTCCCTTCTCTCGAGCTCGGTCTTTCCTAAGGCTGCGTTTTCTCTTCCTCGTTTTTAGTTCGAGCTTTTGGATTCGTCGCTCATGTTCATCTGTCTTTAATGATCTTGTTCGTCAGCCATCTTGTAACTGTCGTCTTCGACCTCGAATTGCATTGTCCTCTCGTTCGACCACTCGAGTTCAGGAAATTCTTCACGGCCTCTTATCAACACTAAGTGCTCATGGCCGACGCCGAGTGACAGATCGAGATCGCGCGTGCTCTTGATTCTGACGTTGTGATTGGGATGAATTAGATTGCTGTGTGGTGCACTGTTGGGCGGGATGACGAGAATCATGTCTACAATCCCTCGGAGAGATATCATTCATATCGATATATCTGATTTCTTGTTTGCTAACATGAGAACTGTTAGCTACGCATAGACTTTTCTTACACCGTGGTTCAGAAACGGCCTTGTATGGATCTGATAGACACGTTTAAGCAGAAGCACAAACAAAACTATGGGGAAACACAAAATAAACGACATACAGGACACGTTCGATTTGGTTACAATTCTAGGGAGCCCTTTCTGGACTCTGCTGTGAATGTCGATGGCGGGTCTCTATTCTCTATTCCCTATTCCACACACTGCGTTACTGTCATCACGCAAGATTTTTAATACATGGACCTGCAAGGGCTGCATAGGACGCCGTTGCAAATTGCCTAATTCTGTTTCATCGTTCGTATGGCTGTGATGTCTTCTATTGATCGCGATACGAATAAGGACCATATAGAAGGCGATCGATATGATGGGCGCGAGCTAGTAGTTCAAAGTTCAGCTTTTGTCGAATAACAGATGTCAACGACGGAATCACCATGTCCAATATGATATTCTGTCCATTGTTCGAGCACACATAGGTGATTAATGCGGTGAAGAGCGCCACAGAGTACAAAACAGCAGAATCCACAAGCACGCGCACAATTGGCACCATAGTGTTCTTTTTAGCGCGAATTGTAGAGACATTACGTTCGACCATCCAGATGCGATACGCAAGTAACGCTAGATATGTTCAGGCCTTGACACTGTGCCCATAAAAATGTGCTCACCTGAACTCAACAAATTTGTTGCAATAGCTGAGACGTAGAATGCATTAACCCAATGTGCAGGTGTTCCACGTTCGTTTTCATAGATTTGACTGAAGTCACTTGTTACTTGCGACAAAGTATAGTTTATAGCAACACCAGACACTGCGATGTAACGTCAGAGAACGCAATTTCATAAATCATGAGCATTATTGCGAACTAACCTGCAACACTGCACCACAACATGCTTGGTACGACGATGACCCAGACTGATTGCCATACAATATAACATCGATAAATCTTGCGGGTCAGCCGGACGGCTCTCTGTGAGCCCAGAGGCATGTAAGCTGCATGTAAAAGTATGAACTCACCACTACCCCATCAGCCAGTAGAGTTTGCAAGACGTATAACGCATTCCCAATCGTAAATGTGTATTGAGAAGGGTCGGCAAAGAACGCCACTGGCCCACCCGGGAATGTGTCGCGATATTTCACTAGTCCATCTTCAACACGAATGATATTCACGATCATGTGCTTTGAGAAAGTCAACACACGACAATATATGTAAGAGGAGAGAGAAGCGCCTACCGCAGTACTCAGTATGAACAGCAGGATGGCCACCACAGTGATTGGGTGACTGATGTCGTGTATGCGTTGTTTGTAGGTCAAAGCCCAGATAGTACCGATAAACATGAGAACCGAAAAACCTAGGGAGAAAAAATTAACTTGGTGGGCATCGGACGAAGAAGCCCCTTGTGTAGAGCTCACCGTATGTAACGCCCTCCAGCACCAGTGCCAGTAAAGCAGCGGCATCCACTGAAATGTTGGAAGCCATGGAAAAAGATAAGATCTACAGCTGTCTACAGCCTGGTAGATGCACGAAGGTGTGGGCATCCTTACCAGCCCCACGCATATATAAAAGACTTGGGCGGAAATGTCAGCGTGTCATGAGTATCACCGTGACAATAGGTTGATGAAGGCAATGCTAGAAGTAGTAGCTTAGTGGCAGTGAGGAAAGGGCCGAACTGTGTTTGCCTTGAAGTTCGGAAATGAGGTGTCTACGAAGTCACGAGGCCATACTCAATTTCCTTTTTCGTTATCTTGAACACCTTCAGTTGATCAGTGCTTCTTGACTTCTACACCTCATGATACTTTCGCTCGTCAATCTTCCGGTGTCACCATCTCCGCAGGTACTTACATCGTCGGCTTCCTCGTAGACACTTCAGTTTTCAACATAGGCACGTTCACAGTAGCGTTTTCCAGTTGTTTTCGTTTGTCGCATAAAACAGCACAGCATCGGAATGTGGAATTCGGTGTAATTCGAGGCACGGTGAGTCAGTGGCTGCGAAGGAGTTGTTGTAGGCACGCCTCGCCAGTGCGAAGGAATCTGCAATGGCTAAAGCCAGCAAGAACCGCCATCCTCCGAAACCCCGCACCAAGCCCACCGCCGCCGACTCGGAAATGAAGGAGAACTTTGATCCTCAGGCTACTTCGACGACGGATAAAAAAAGGACGATCCTTATTGCATGAGTGGTTAGATAGCATAGCAGTATATTTCACTGATTGTTTATTCTCATAAGTTGGTCCAAACCGGAGCGTGACAAAATATATAGTATAGCATTGAGGCAAGAAACAAGTAGACTACATACATGTTCCGTCGGAGGTGTGTTTTACACAGATTCTGCCGGGTATGTCGATACACGATCTTCATTCCCTTTGCCGAACCATGGGGTACCGTCACTGAATTGGGATACACAGACCCTCAAAGGATGTTGCCGCAGGTTGTCCTTCTGGGTACATTAATATTGGAGAAATTGTTGTCTTTCCTACTGATTGCGATGCGAATAACCACCATGTAGAAGGCGATCGACACGATCGACATGATCTATTTAATTGAAGCTCAGTTTTATATTCGATAACAGGTGTTTAGGGCAGAATTACCATGTCCAGCATCACAACCTCTCCATTGTTCGAGCAGACGAAACAGATTTAATGCCATGAGCAGTACCACAGAGTACAAAACGGCAGTGTCCATAAGCACGCGCAAGAGTGGCATCATAGTGCCATTCGTAGCGCGAGTTGTAGGGACGTTCCTCTCGATTGACCACATGCGATATATCAGTGATCCTGGACACAATGAGGGACTCGACATCGCACTCGCACAGAAAGGCACTTACCTGAACTTAACAAGTTAGTCGCAATCGTGGTGGAAAAGAACGCCATGAGCCATTTCGCAAGCACTTGGGAGTAGATGTCTCCAGAGTCGCTCCCGGATTGGAATGCACAGTAGAGCCCGATGATACCAGTCACTTCGAAGCAACCTCAGACTGAACGACTTCCTGAACATGATCGCGTACTAATAACCTGCGATTCTGCACCACAGCATGCTTGGTAGGATGATAATCAAGATGGATTGCCAAACAATACAGCATCGATAACGTATGCATCAATGCACCGTCCAGCAACTACAGCATCGCACCAAAGTCCGCCCTGCATCATGATCACTGGCAGAGTCACAGCATGCTTCCGATTAATCACGTACAACATTGATGAACGAACTCGATCAGCATGTGGTGCCAGCGCTGTAACACGTGTGCGCAGTCAGATTCAAAGAATCGGAGCGCCCTCGAGGAGATAGGGATTGTTCTAATTGCAATCTGATTAGCCAGACATGCCGGCAAGGCGATCTACAACTCGGCATGATTCCAAGTACTGTACCTCTCTGTATGGAAGGAATCATGGATTAATGCGTCTGATGGAAATTTAGCAACATCGTCTGATTGGATCGTGGCATCCGAACAAGACAGTGACAGTGGCGTCATCAGATGGGCCTATATGTCGGATTGGCATACTCAGCTTATTGGATTCAAAGTTTTGCTGGCGGAGTTTTCACTTACCAGTAACGACAGTGGGGTTGATGTTGCAGCTTCGTATTTTGTGTCCGTGATGGACAGCAAGGTGATACGCATGGCCTGGTAAGTAAACGCGACCATGAAGGTGGCACAACAGCCAGTACAGTGACATGTACTGGCATATTACTATTACTTACTTCGGATTCCGAGACACCAGGGGCTTGTTCTTCATTTCTGGATTTCTTTATAATTTATAATTCGTGCTCGCAGCTAGAATGGTGGCCTCAAGTCAGCGAAAGCGCATAGCACCGCCCTGAAAAGTGCAGCAGAGCCACAGCGCTTGTGGTGTAGTGCGCATCCGATAGGCCACTTTGTGCAGGACCGAGTTGATGCGGCTATGTCTCATGAGACTGACTAAATAAGGGTTGTCCAGCATTGTTTCGTTAGCGCTGTGACATTGCAACTGGAAAGCTTTCGAGATCAGAAGTCGTCTGGATGCGGATCAGTGCAATGCATGAAGTATAAATCAGTCGTCAAAGATAGGCGGTACATACTTAAGCTATCAGGAGTCTCACCTACATGATAGCAGTAGAGTCTGGGGGGATGATATCAGCGGTACAATGAGCTAGTAAGATATGCTTCAAACACTAGACGAGATGGACATCACTCCGTACCGTCATAGACTGGCTCGTATCCTCACAGCCAAAGCCTTCCCTTCATCCTCATCGAGCTCATCCCTCGACTCGAATTCTCGCTGGTGCATCTCCCGCTGACTTAAAACTCTGCCATTCTCCTTCGCTTTCTCCGATGGTTCCGCTCTTGCGCTCGAGTCAAATGACGGGGCAGGAATAATATGGTAGTGAACCTAAGCAGCAACATCATAAAGTGAGCTCCAAAGCTGTAGACATCACATACGTGTGGCACTGCTTGCGCATATTCCTGATTGCACACCACATTGAGCGCAGTATTACCCAGTGCTTCGCGCCAGTTTCCTTAGTATATCCAACCGAAGATCATAACAGCATCCTCACCTTTCGTCAGTCCATGTGCCACTTTCGTCACAGCCTGCCCCACTGCACTGGCATATTCTGAGGGTAATTCTGACACCCGCGAATAATGGGCTTTGGGTATAACGAGAGTGTGCCCACGTCTTAAAGGCAAGATATCTGTGCAGGGGGTTAATACAGTTTTCGCCAACTTCTCAGTGACAATTCAAATACCTAGAATAGCGATGACCTTATCATCCTCATACAGACGCGTCGAGGGCATTTCGCCTGCGATGATACGGCAGAATGGGCAATCACGATCCGCATCGTCCTTCCATTCTGTTGGTATACTGCGGTTGGTATGTGCGCCAATTAGGAAGGATGTCATGGGAATGGATGAAAAGAAACGGGACAGAAGGACACGTTCTTGGCGGCGGTCCGGCTCGAAGTCGAACACAAGCGAACGAGTATTAGAACAACCGGTCTTGCCAAAAACAGCTTGTCGCAGAGCAGAAGCGCTCTAGCCTTTAAGCTTTGTAGGCTGGTCATAATCTTAAGCAGGAGCCTCGTGTATCTAAGATAAATTTAAGAAATTGCCACAACTACTCCTACTATTAGTATACATCCGTCACGCATACGCTGACTCTGAGCCCTTCTCACTGAACCCATAGTCCTCTCCCTTGACAAAAGCGCGCGTACATTGTGCCATAGTGACGGATCTACCAGCGATGCGTGAGCTTGAGTTTAGAAACAAATGATAATGAGATACTAACGCGCGTGAGATGGGATCGGTTTGATAAAAGTTGGAGATGGGCTTGAGGAAGGGCTTGCCAGAGACCTTTGCGGATGCCGTATTGGCTGCTATGGTCTGAAGACCCGCCACAGCGATTTCAGGAGATGTCCGTTCTGCAACATCGTAGCGAACGAGAGTGGGCGAGATATCCCACATGCGGTCACGCAAACTCAGGACATCGTCGTAGGGCAGTGGTGAACCAAGAACCTCCGAAAGGGCGCTAGAACATAGGAAGTGAGTATAAAAAACAGTCGAACGAAAATAGCAGCGTACCGGATAATTTTCCAGTCCTCGCGAGAAGCTCCAGGTGGGGGAACAGCGGCACGACCTACTTGAGACCGGCCCTCCGTGTTCACCCATGTCATAGCCTTTTCAGTGTATGCTGCGGCAGGCAAGCAAACATCAGCAAGTGAGGCGCCAAGATCTCCGTGGTGGCCTTGGTAAACGACGAAAGCATTCGCAGGTATAGACTTGGGGTCTACTTCATCTGCGTTAAGCAAGTAGATAAATTTGGGTTGGGTACTTGCGGCCTTCTTCGAGGGAACAAACCCAATTTCGTATGCCGCAGGTCTAGAAGCAATCTTAAAGGCAATTGATTCGCCTGAAACTTGAAAGTTAAAAGTCAAGGCTTACCCTATGTAGGACGGAGAAGCCATTCCACTCAGGGGTAATGAGAGAATCTTTGTTCTTCTCGACAAACTTGGCCACCGCATTGTAAGCAGCAGCACCGTCGGGTTGCTCCGCAAGAGCGCTCCCGACGATGATCAGAGGCCGCTTGGCTGCTTTGAATTTGGCTGCAAATGCTCCCTTTCCAGCAATGAAGTCAGCAAGAGCCTTAGAGTCTGCACCAAGGTAGTCGTAACCGTATGCCGTATCAGCACGCTCGCCGATGAGGCCGACCTCAAGACTTGTGTGCAGCCAGCTCTTGCGAATGCGAGAGTTAAGGACAGCAGCCTCGTGGCGTGGGTTAGTACCAACAAGCAGGATGGCATCGGCTTCTTCAACACCAGGGATGGTAGAGTTGAAGAGATAATTGGAGCGAATGTCAACACCATGTGGGGGCGGTGCACTGCCATTAATCTGGTCGAGCGCAAGATTGTCTGACCCTAGGCGGTTGATCAGGTCTTTGAGGGCGACAAGGGACTCGGTGTCAGCAAGGTGTCCAGCAACGGCTTGGATCTCATTGCCAGTGGCCCCTGAAGAGGCTATACCATCTGCAATTGCTTGTAGAGCTTCCTCCCACGAAGCTGCAACGAAACGGTCGCCCTGCTTGATGAGAGGCGTCGTCAAGCGCTGGAACTTCAAGCCGTCATAAGCATAGCGCGTCTTATCACTGATCCACTCCTCATTGACTTCGTCGTTGGTTCGAGGCTGGATTCGCATTACCTGGACACCACGAGAGTCGACGCGAATATTCGAACCGACAGCATCCATAACATCGATGGATTCGGTGTTTTTTAGTTCCCATGGTCTGGCGTGGAAAGCGTATGGTTTACTTGTTAAAGCACCGACGGGACAAAGATCGACGATGTTGCCAGAAAGTTCGGAATCCATGGTCTTCTCAACATACATGCCGATTTGGAGGTCATTACCGCGACCCGTCGTACCAAGCTCCTCGACACCAGCAACCTCATTAGCAAACCGGACACACCGAGTGCATTGAATGCAACGGTTCATGGAAGTCTTAACAAGAGGTCCAAGGTCCTTGTTCTCCACTGCACGCTTGCCCGTGATTTCGTGGAAACGCGTACGGTCAGAGCCGTATCGCATGGACTGGTCCTGAAGGTCACATTCACCACCTTGGTCACAGATAGGGCAGTCGAGTGGGTGGTTGGCTAGAAGGAATTCCATGACACCCTCACTGCACACTTTGTGAGCAGACGCGGTAAAATGCAGATACCCTCATCTTACCGAGCTTCATGAACCAGTGGGGTATTTGTGAACACCTTAGAACCAGGCATGGCCGGCATAGCACTGAACGTCACCTATAAGCACAGGGACTCGAAAAAATGACTACATTGTCATACCAAGATGCTACTGGCTTTGGGGAACGCTCGACCTCAACCAGACACATACTAGAATAAGCGTCAAAATACTGCCTCCCTTTCGCTGTCACACTTTCCACTCACCGGCAGTTACCAGCAATCGCGAGTCTAGAAGGCAGTTTCAGCCTCTACAATGTGTCAAGAAAGAGAAGGCATCCTAACGAACCTGTCATGGTAGCAGAACCTGAAGAGGGAGTTAGTGAGCAATTACTGGAGTAGTATAAACATATAGAAAAGACGTACCGAGGAATCGTAGCACCAGCAGCCTCACAAGCTTGAATCAACGCGGACCCTGCGCGATAATAAGCTGTCTAAAACGCGAAACGCGAACAGAAACATAAATATATGTACCTTGCGGAACCGTTACCTCCTTCCCGTCAACAGTAAGAGTGATGTCAGCTTGACGTGCAGATGTGGACGCTATGGACCTGCGGCCTACAAGATATGAATACCTAAGGTGATACGGAGGTCAAGGCAGGCGCACCATGTGAAGCACCAGAGCAAACGACTTTCCCGAGTCGCCCCGTTGAGGAGGGTCGCGAAACCAAGCGTAACATTAATAATTTGGACGACCAAGAAATGTGCAGAGAAAACCGAACAAGTGCTAGTCACTCGCAAGGACGAGCGCTGCCGGTTAAAAAAGCGGGGAATAACGGTGCTCGTCGCGATACACAGCGACCAACGAAATCGTGAGTATTACACGATTCGGGCGGAGTTCAAATCTGCCATTTTGCCGAATATGTTCTCGGCGGTAAAAGTTTATCAGATACATCATTACTTGCAGGCAGTAAATAGTACAAGTACAAATACTAGTAAGTGTCCGGAATGAGTTCCATCGCAGCCGTTCCAGCAGCCAATTATTAAATGATTAGCAGATTACGTCCTTTATACCCTCCCTCCCCCCAATCAAGCCTTAGGGAACATAAATAACAAGGAGAACATTCACTATCAACTTCTCAAGTTCTCCATTAGACACAAAGTATACCCTCTCCTTCGCAAGCGGGCCGGGAACCCAATCTGAAAGGATGAAGATTTCCGCTTGAGAAAGAGGGATTGCACCACTTTCTTCAACCCTCATCCTCAGGTTGTGAGCTTCGATTTTCATTATCTCTACGTCATCTTCTTCCGGACCACCGTAGTAGCTCATCGGACCACGGACGGATTTTGCTGAACGAGCAGGTGATCCAAAAGCGCTCGGGAAGCCCATTGATGATAAGCTTGTTGGTGAATCCAGAACATCGTTTCCGCATTCTACGGTCCGATCGATGGGCCAGACGTATCCCCCCGCTGCCCAATGCAGCTCCGGCGCAAGTTTGTACACCTTCAGGGCATGGTATAAAAGTGAATCGCTGCCCTTAAGCTGGTCACCTTACGTCAATAAAGTCCTGCCAGCAGACAGCTGAAACTCACATGAGGTACCAAAGATTCGGCCAGGCCCTCCGAGGGGTTGACGCCGTAGTCCTGCGTCAAATAGAATGCTACTTTGCGCCCGCGAGACAGGCTGAGGACTGGGGAAAGAAGATCAAGGAAATATTCACTAGGTGTGATCAGAGGATCGACTGCTGCGCCGTATGTCTTCAGGTGCACAGCATACGTGAAGCTCATTCTGCATCCTTGCTGAATGGTTTCGACTTCGTATTCGCATTCCCCAAGGAATGCAGTCCAGTGGACCTCCGAAGGTTTGCCTCCACCTCCGAAGAACTTCTCTTCTGTCCCTTCTGCATCTCGGACAATCATATTTCCGCCGCGATGGTGAACGGGAAGAGTGACACATATTGTAGCAACTCTACCATCGTTGCGTAATGTACGGGGTTGGGGCGCCATACGTGCTCCAGTTACCATCACCTCCAGTTTATCTCTCAGGGCGGTGAGGTAATGTCCCATGGGTAATGCCGGAAACAGTGCATTACGCACCGCGTCGAGGATGGGATGGTTGGCGATTTCAAGAGTGGCCGTCAAAGGAAGATTTGAGGGGTAGAATAGTGTTTCACGATCAGGATATACATCAAATCCAGGTGTTGGGTGGGGTTTACATGCTGCTAGTAGTACTTCTAGAGCCGGAGGTGTGTCGTAATCAATGTTGATGGGGAAATCAAGCGAGTGCGTGATGCCACTCTGTAAATCGGACTCAGATTCAGATAACGACTATTAATCAGTGCCACGAACAGCTCACCTTTGAGCGAAAGAATAGCACCAAGGACGCCGGGTCCATTGGGATGTGACCAGTGACAGTGAACGGACGCGCTTTGGCGGTGAGTAAACGTGACACGCTCGCACGAAGAGCACTTTCAGCGCCATATTCAGACTGACGACGACGAACGCCTGGCCGCTTTGGAGATGATGTATTCATTTTGAGTGGTCGCTCGATTTCGAATTCTGTCACGCTTCCGTTCCGCGCGAATTGACGACTGCCATCCGAACGGCTGCTATCTGAGAGGCGACTCGCAGCAGATGGTGTTGGAGAGCCTAGTGCTGATCTATGCATCGCAATACTTGAGATGTCGCTAATGGTTAAGGAAAAGAGTGAGGATCTGTGGAAGTGGACGGGACTCTATTTACCAGCCGGAAACAGTGAGTGGCCAAAAAGAGCCACATCTGGCGTGCCGAGATCCAATGGACAGCGATGACATCGAGCCAATCACGCGCCCACAACGTGTTTGATTCATCGTAGACAAGATGGGGTTGGAGGTACAGCAAGACATCTTTGGTAAAATTTGGCAAACCCGCTAGTATTTCCAAGCCGGAGTTTCGCATTCGAACGGACGTTCCTGATCTCATCTTGAAAGATAGCGGGCCTGACAATTGAATAGAGTTCAAGAACTTCACGTCTGATTTGGAACCGCCTACAAGACTGAGTACAACGCGGCGTCAGCATGGCAATGTCTGTAGTGAAAGGTAACAAGATTTTATACGTACAAGCGTCTTTTTGTCTCTGCGAAAGCAACAAGCATAATACACTGTTATTTCGGTTGATTTACTCTGAATCCTGTGATCATGATAGAAGTCAACAATCAGCTGACACGTGCATGTTTTGTTTGACATACCGTCCTTTGTACAGAACGGACCAACAGCAAACCACCCCCACTCCCGGTCATCCGCGATTGTTTGAATCAAAACATTTCATTTCAGCGCTTCTAATTTATGAAGTGCACGTGACTCGGGCGGGACGCCGAAGGCCGAATTCAACCAGTTTTTGGGTTTGTCCCACAAAAAAACATATTGCTTCACGCTACCTACATACCAGAGGACTAATATGTCTGCAGCTACACTCGAGCAATAAGCTCAGTCACAGCTTGCATCTTGAACAAATCTAATAAGATGTGAACACGAGGCCCATCAACTTGCACCTGAACGAGGTGTCCATAGCGCACCTGTGTGTGCTGCACATTTGGCACATATCAAAGCACTACCACAGATCGATTCAAAGAATGTGGTTGGGTGAAGCTGTGCAAGGCCGCCTTCCACACGTTCGCACACCGCCATCAGATGATAGCCATACTCGGCTCAGACGCCTCCTGTGGTGGACAGAAGGCAACGTGCCAAAACCCGATAAGTACTATGGCGGTGGACGCAGCCATGAAGAACCGCGACATGCCCAACACAGACACCAAGTTCCAGTCGCCTGGTCCCGCCATCGGAAAGAGAAGATGGATATGGATCGACGATCGAGGGGTCCAGTGTAGCCAGCCTGCACCCGAATCGACCAAGTGAAACAACCAAGGACGGCTTCCTCGTCCTACTCAGCGACAGATTCGATAACATATGGAGATACATGCCAAAATCAGCAATAGGTTAGCCAGTTGACCGTCTCCAGAATACCTTCGCTCGTCCTCAATGTAACGAACGGGGGTCCCCGTGACTAATCATACCATGTACGCACTCATCGTCAGACACCGAGAACTGATCGTAGACCGATGACTGGATTAGCAGGAGTAGATGGGGAATCACCGAGATCATCATGGGCGATTCAACCGGTGATCCTCAATTTAAAGAATACCTGGTCATCGTACCCACGAATTTTGTGTCAACCCAGATGACTCCGTTTGATTACTTTGGTCCGCCTTATTGACCATGCCATGTTGTTCGTCAGGGTCGCCTTATCTATATCTCTCACCTTCCTTCTTCCTAAGACCAGGAAGCCTTTTTTGGATGGAGAAGGACCACTCTATTTTTGCACCCCAAGACAAAGATACGGCCTGAGACTGGAATAACGGCGGTCCTAGGCATTCGTGAAGCATCGACGGTCATGTGCGATTCCACGAATGGCTTCATCTTGCACCGTATTTCAACTTGGTTTCAGCCCGCGGGGTTCCTGCCAGGTTTTCTTGTAAGCCTCAGGGGATGATTGGATATGCTTATCAATATCAAGAGGCCTCGCGTCCAAACCATAGATCCGGCGTGAACGAACATGATGATGGTCGTGATGCTGAATGATTCATTGATTATCAGGCGGGCCGTTGGTAATCCTTTGGCTCTGTTTATTTCTAAAGCCTTTGCCAAACAATACGCGTTCCGTACGCCACTTGGACTGTCAAGCGAGTCTAAACAGGCACGACAAAGATCATCTACGTAGAAAATACCTTTGATCAAAACGTGATAATGGGGGTAACCAAGCTGAGTGTTCTATCGGGTATTCCCGTTCATCAAATCTTACGTCAGGCATTGATCCGAGACTTCGAAGTTCCGACTTCTGCCAGCTTCTGCCTCTCAGTGGCCTCCTCTGGCTTGCATCTGTTGGCAGAGGGTCTTTCGCACTGCCAACGGTGTCCTCGTGTTTCTCGTGCTTCGCTAAATCACGAATCATTCACATCATCGCACGATAACACCGCAATCACGGTCGGCCGTCTGCTTCCAAGTTCCGCTTCGTATGCATATTACACACTTGCAATCGCTGTGCACCACGATAATAATCTTCCGTACTGCTCGTGTCTCTAAACTTATTAGTCGAGAGGAGTCCGGTACACCGTATCTTTCTTCAGTTACACCCTTCAGAGGCATCAATAAGTACAAATGCTTCTCTTATACCCAAGACCCCACTACAGTCGATATGCACCGCAGAAGCCCAATTCAATCCCAAGTTCCGGTTTCTTCTGATAATACGTGACAACGTACCAGTGGATGGTTTGCGCCCGGAATCTGTTGTCGATGACTTTTTCTACAACGATTTTACCGTGTTCTGCGAAGTCAACGGCGATCAACAAGTCCAAGTTCGGCTCTCATGCGCAAGCACCGCGAATCTGATACATTCCGCACCACTCTTGCGTCCTTCAAAGGCATAAGTTATATGAACAACTCTGATGGCTCAATACTCCACGAAAGCTGATATGAGATTCAAATGAAGTGATATGATCAGACATCAAGACACCGTAAGCTTTGCCGCAGTACGCAGCTTATCTCTATATTACAGCACAAAATTCATCGTGTCACGATCATCGGCCCACAGTCTCGCATACTCCAAACATAGTCTGTAGACGTACGCTATTGCCAAACAAAGTCAAGTCAAGCCAATTTGCAAATACATGCCCGCAAAGCCAGAACGCACCTTCCATATCGACAGTCCTCCCAATTGTTTTTCTCCACTGTCGGCCCGCACGTGCGATGCGCTGTAAACGCTGGTCGCCGTCTAGTGACTGTATTGGGGGTGTGGTAGTCAAATTTGCAGCAGCCAAAGTTGAGGGCGTAGGTCCTGAGAAATACGCGTGGATGTTGTATATCTCGCCGTAAGATGAGGATAAAGGTATATAGTGTAGCCTTGCTTGCCATTCAGCCCTGCATCCGAGTACCAGTTATGAAACACACCATGGCTGTAACCAATCTGAGAGGAACTCCTGCCACACAGTACTCTTTACCACGGCGCTTTCACTAGATAAAAGTGCTAGGAAACGTCCCGAGTAACCCATACCGTCAAGATCAAGCAGATATTTGTACGCCCAGTGCTGACCCAGGGGAACGGGTGATGCGAAGCGGTGACTTTTCCTAAGTGCTTCCTCGCCGCCAGGATACTCGCCAGCTGTCGAAACAAATGCAGCATCAATCATCTCAGCATTCAGCTGTCGCACAGGCACCTCAGTAGTAATGAAGTTATTAGCGCTCGAGGGGTCAGCATGGATAATCGTGCGATTTCCTGTTACGCTCTCGTGTGTCATGTGAAGAAATCTATAGTGAAAAATAAGAACCGCGTGATAGGGAAGCAAGCCCAGCGATGAATTACCTGTGTCTCTGGTAATGTGATGCATAGCCCGGGGGAGTGCTACCACCACCAGTATCTGCACCCCGCCAGAAAACGACATCTGTCTTTTTTTCCCATGGAACCTCCATCACATCAACGTCATGGGGCTCGTCACCGTGAGCATTGAATCCATAAGTGTACCTGGGATGTTGTCCGAAATAATAGTGGCTCGGAATCCTGATATCCAAAAATCCTGAGGCCTTCGCGGGAGATAGAACGGGGTAAAGCACAGGTATCGTGCGCCAGTCCGAGAAAAAGTGGCCTTGGAAGTAGTGAGCCCAAGGATACGAGCAGTAATCGATAGAATCTTCGACACTTGGCACAAAGGAGAATTCGTCTCCAGGAGCTGGAGCGGAGCCGAAGAAGACTTTTGAATTTTGAGCATTGGGATTGCGGTATGAAGCGTAAAGGCGACGGGCTTCAGTTTCAGGAGGACACGTTCGGCGATAAGCTGCCCAAACACTTCCTTCCCCCCTCCAATCAGAAGTGAAACCAGTTCCAACCATGGAAGTTATTCCACCTGACGCGCAATTAATGGATGACTCTGAATTCACCAATGACATAGCAGACCTGATGAATCTTGTGTCGTCATGTTAGGGAATTGGCGGTGTTCCCAAGGTACCAAGACTCTGCCCTCCGCCTTCGAGTTGATGGCAAATTGCATGTCAGGGAGCTATGGGCCTTTATGAATAGAACTAATGGGAAGAGAGGGCTGGGTAAACACACCTTATCTACAAATTTCTCCAGCAAAGTCATAAACCCCAAGTGCTCTATGTCCACGCTCGCTACCCGACGTGTCGATGGAAAGGCCTTCAGCCTTGCCACCTATGATGCGGACCAAATCAATAGACGGAAGTTCGCTGACCTGCAAAATGAACGTCATGATATCGTAGTGAAGTGGAGATCACATTTACTTGAACTGTCCTCCTTCGAAATTCTACGCCAGACATATTCCAGAACGGTGCCAGGTCTTCATCAATGGCATCAAACTCGTCCACCAGCCTTACATTGTGTTCCTGCGCGAACTGCCACCAATCTCCAAACCCTCTGGGAGGCTCGCGCCCGTATCGTTTCCTGTATTCACGCACAGCGTCCACAAGAGTCTTGCTTTGCCTAGAAAGCATATGCTTGAACTTCTCCTCCGCATCCGCCATCAATTTCGGTATGGGATGTTCAGCGAGGGAGTATGATTTTTTTTCATTCTTGACAAAAGGGAGCCATTTTGAGGAAGTCGAGAACCAGTTTGCTCGTGAACTCGAGTCTCGTTGAGAAGTGCGATCATTGTTACCGGCGAAAAGGCCAGCTTGCATAAAAAAGATGAAAACACAAGCGAGAAATATCCAGCCGCGCCATCTTGTCGCCCATGTATCGCCTTTATTGATGGACCGCATTGTCGAAGTGAGAATGAGATCCTGCGCAAAGATTATGTTCAATGCAAGATAGCTGAGGTGAACATGGAGAAGTGACGACTCCGACGTGTATCATAAATACGTAATAACTGATCCTTTTTTGACATTTTGACGATTTCCTTTAAGCTGACTGTCAGCTGCCACGCACGACCGCATCTTGGATATGATGCGGGTAGATGTACATATGCACATAATGATGGGATGATCAGTTCATTTTTTTATTTCATGGAACTGAACAGCGTTCTTGTCAGGAGTTCGCTGCCAGGCATCACCACCCGCAAAAGTCGATTAGTGAGATTCAAAGGTATGTGTAAGTAGTTAAAACTTAAGACTGTCATCCCTTAACGCCTTAGGCCTTAACAGTTACGCCAAAAAGCAGTGATAATCAATGCTCAGCATGATTATCGCAGACAGTATTTATGCTGATTATGGGAACTCAGGTAAGCAACCGGCTATGTCATGCTGACTGAGGGACTAACTGAAGATTCCATCAGTAATCGTTTGCCATGGCGCGATATAAAGCCAACTCTGAGATCTGAAGCCTTGTCATCGCTTGCAAGTTACATCTTACAATCCATAACAAATTCATGGCAGAATCAAAGGTCTGGTTAGGTAAGTTCTTGGTATCTCCTCATCGAGCTTTGAGAATTGACGAAACTATGGAAGTCACTGGATCGTCCTCGGGATTTGGTCGCTCCATGACCGAACTCCTGTTGAAGAACGGAAACAAAGTGGTCGCAACTCTACGCCGCAAAGAAGCCCTATCCGGTCTCGCCGAACAGTATCCATCTTCTCAGTTGTTGATCGTCCAGACGGATGTTGTAAAGACTTCCGAGGTTGTTGCCGCATTCGCAAAAGCCAAAGAGGCATTCGGACGTGTCGATGTTGTATTCAACAACGCGGGTATGGCTATTCTCGGAGAGACGGAGTCCAAGAGCGATCAGGATGCTCGTCAGATCTTCGAAGTGAACTTTTGGGGTGCATCAAATGTCACGAGGGAGGCTATTCGGATGTTCAGGGAAGTGAACAAACCAATAGGAGGAAGATTGTTGCAGGTTTCTTCTTCGTTGGGATTACGTGGAAGAGCTGCAGCGTCCTACTATGCCGCATCGTGAGTGAACATGGCCATGCGTGATTTGAATGCTCACCAACAGCTACTTCTGATAGTAAACCCGGTAAGCGTGTTCGCTTAAGGCCATCGTAGTATCTCAAACTAGTTCTCCAGCAATGGAGGGATTCAGCGAGAGTCTCGCGCAAGAACTGGACCCGGCTTGGAACATAAAGGTTTGGTCAATCTAGTCTGAAGACGGAACTCGAGCTAATGGCAGGTAGGTTACCATAATCGAACCAGGTCCATTCCGGACGGGGATGTTCAAGGGTAACATGCAACTTGTTCCTCAACATCCAGCATATGCAGACCCAGAGCTACCTGGTTCTAAATTCCGCCAGTTTATGACTTCAACTCTGGCCGACGGAGACACTGAAAAGGTGGTGGTGGTCATTGAGAAGCTCACTCACCTGGACGATCCACCGCTAAGATTTCCATTGCACAGGCTTGCGGTCGGGGCCGCGAGAGAGAAGGTAAAGAGTCTCACTGAAACCATAGATAGATACGAATCCTGGACGGAAAACGTCTACTTCACGTAGTACAGTTGACACGTAGTGTTGACTTTGGACGGCATTGAAGTACTTGGATTTGTACTTACTCAGTCTTACACACAATGCTGGTCCTAACAAATGTGCCAGCACATTTCGCACCAATCGTCGACCATTAATATTGTTGATCGCGTATGAGCAAAACCCGTAACGACGCATAAATCATTCTGGATGGGCCATGCGTGAGATTCGTGCCGTTCCTCGCGAGATTTTCGGAGTCTAAGCTGATCAGGAGCAAATTGACGGTTCTGCAGTGTGGACAGGCTTACCACTATCTGAAGAAGATACGCGGTCTGTGGCTGTGCCACGACGCTTTCCTTCATCGTTTGTGCATTATGTAAGGTGAGTTGTCTATGTACTCATGGGTGCCAATTAGACGATGAAATATTTTTCGTGACGAAGCGGGCCCGTGATGAAAGGCAACTCGGAAATGGGAACTTGTAAGTAATTAATGTTATATTCCTGCATACTATTGACCCATACAATTTAAATGTCCCTGTAGCTCACCCACCACTGAGGCGGTTGGCAGAGCAATGCTGTCATCATGTCGATTTGTGCTTGTGTAGGTCGTGCTTGGAAGCTGACAGGATCGTCTGAACAAACAGAGATAACCACCACCACCTCTTGTGCATCGTACTCGACTTCAAATTCGTCGTCTGCGTATCCAATCACCGAGGTTTCGTCTTTATCATCGTGGCTTGTATAGCCCTCATCTTCGTCCTCCTTGGTATCTTCATCATGGCCATTGACAATGGCCTCGTGGTCGTCAGTCTTGCTGTGGTCGTTTTTGTCTTTGTATTGACTTGCATCGCCTTGATCTTCATCAGCCTTTGGGTCGTCTTCTTTTTCGTCTTCGTGATGACTCGCATTGCCTTGATATTCATCAGTCTTTTGGTCGTCTTCTTTTTCGTCTTCGTAATGACTTGCATCGCCTTGATCTTCATCGGTCTTTGGGTCGTCTTCTTTTTCGTCTTCAAAGTGGGTTGGATCGCCCTCGCCTTCGTCAGTCTTTGTATCATCGTCGTCCTTTTCGACTCCATAGTGACTTGTATCAGCTTCTTCGTCAGCTTCTGTGTCATCTTTTTCGTCTTCATAGTGACTCGATCCTTGTTCATCAGTCTTCGTGTCGTCCTCCTTTATGTCTTCGTGGTCAGTTGCACCGCCCTCATCTCCATCAGTCTTCGTATCGTCCTCCTTTTCATCAGCCAACCCTTCTACCTCCTCCTCTGAATCTTCATCAGCAGAATCCTCAGGCTCTAAGACCAGGTCGACACAACACTTGTAATCTAACTGACGGAGGCGCAACTCCTTCATGAGCCAATTACGGGTCAACGATGCGCACGTGGGATCATAAAAATCAGTGGGATCGATGAACCTTTTGATCTCGTTCTCGAAGGCGAGAATGAAATCCTGGGTAATGCTATAACCGTAATAATGTTCATGGTTTCCTCTAGGGGGGCACTCGATATCGATTTGAGACTCCTGGTTGGACGAGGAAATCTGCAGTATTGGGGTGAGTTTTAGTATGCTATACAACGCTGAAGAATGTTGTTTTAGGTTCGAACCTGGATCTTGAGACTTTGGACGAATTCTTTGAAATAGAACGACAATTGCTCGGATGACAATGACATCGTGCGCGAAATGATTGGGATGGTGATCGACTTCTCTGGCTGAGTCTCGGCCAACTCATCATATATGATTCCCTTTCATCTATAGTGGCCTTTCAGACTCTTTCCCCTTTGTTCGGTAGTCTTTTATGTCATATTGTTGCACAAGTGGCTTAGGTTGGTCGATGCTAGATTGGGCGTGGATTGAAATCACGATCGCTTCTTCAGAGGTTAGAGCGCTCCGCGGTGCTTCCAGGAAATGCTTGTTCTCCTCGGTGGCGTGCACTCCAGCCGTACACTGGCGCAGAGCTTCACAAGCTGCAGCAACGTTTTGAATCAACTTCCATGACTCGCAAAGATCTAAGTTTATCTTATCACGAATATTGCAGGGCCTCTTCTTCAGACATTTGGATGTTAAGGCTAGCCTTGGACGCTCGATTTTCATCTAGGCCAGGCTAAACCTTATTCCAACCTCTATGAAGCTGTCTTTGTAAGTGATCAACCCTTAACTTAAAATTTAAATAACACGCTAATCCTCAATTCGATCCTCGCACGAAGAGACTATTATATGTACATGGGTGATGTAAAATATAGGCAGGTAGTATTTCCCGCAAGAGAACACGAGGCTACGAAGGATAAAGTAAGGAAGGTTAAATGTGGCGTATCATGCAACTAACACAAAGCTTTCAGGTCTATAAGATGTAAATCATGTACTGACGTTCTAGTCGTAAGAATGGCGCAGTGCGTGAAAGAAGTGAAAACGATCTCACCTCCAGAAGCCAGGCATCAGGCTCTACGAGGGCCTTTGGGAAGCAGCTTGACGACTCGGTCCCACTTGACAGCATGTCCGTCCTTACCAAAATAACGGGCGGATTTAGATTGCCAGTGCAATGGGCCAACTATGATGTTCTGCAACCCTTGGACATAGATATCGACCTGCCTGTCAACCTCTGCTCCCCATGAGGGGAGCATGGCACGGTTATATTCAAAGCGCTGGATGGCATCTTGGCACATCTGGCCAGCATAGTCGATGGCGCCTTGGAGGTCTAATCCTCGCTCGTGCATGAGCACAGCGACCATGTTATGCCAGTGTACGTCACCGCGAGATTGCTCCATGTTGTATGAGAAGATATCCTGTTGGTGGTGTAATGTCAGCACCACCCTAGCGTTCAACGACAGAACAGAATTACATTGGACCAAACCATATGATCGTTGGTAGCGTCCTGCAAGGCCACAACAACTGGATGCGATATAACTTCCGTCAGGGAGATCAATTCGAGCTACGAATTCGACGAGAGGAAAGCCCATCCTCGCTGCGCTTAGATCTCGCCTTAGGACGATGCAAGATTGCAGATCATACATATTCCCCTTTGCTACGGTCGTCCACCTGCTTAGCCACAGCGGCGAAGAACAATTCACTTGCGTGGATAAACCGCTCTATGCAGCCGGCGCCGGCGGTCTCCCGAAAGCGGCTGAAAAATCTAGTAATCACATAATGACGTTGAAAAAGAATGTGATGTGATGGGAAAAATGGTCATACGATTTGCACATCTTTGCACCAAGTTGTTCCGCGTCAAAATTGATGGGATCGCGTAATGCAGAAATACAGGATTCGCGCGTTTTCCGTACATCGACAACATTATACTCCATCCAGTCGTCCACGATGAACAGCCAGTTCAAGAAGTCAGAGCAGACTCGGAGATGGAACTCATCTGCATCAGGATAGCAAACAGCAGCTAATGTGCCTGTATCCATATCAGTATGTTCATACCCTCTGATCTCGGGCTCTGCAAGTTGCGGTGTGACGTCAATAAGCCATTGATCAGATGAACGTGCCACCGTATGACAGTGACGGTTCTGTCGCAAGGGATAGGGGCAATAATTGATGAGGTTGGGTAAAATGAATTGTGAGGGCTCGCAGTCAGGAGTGGTTGTTTGAGTGACAGTGGGAACTAATATAATAGCGGTCATCGGATTAATGAACGTCGAGATGAGCAATATATAGGTGCAAGATCGTCAGTCTTTATAGTGAATTTTTAGTCCACGTAGATGTCTGTCTCGCTCGGATCAGAAGTGAATATTAAGCCCGTTTTTAATCATCAGGGCACAAGCGATTCATATTCGGCAGACGAATGATATATGGTGACCTGTCGGACACACCCAGCTGGGTCGAGTGCTGCACCTTGATAGGTGTAACTTGAATGGTTACGAGTTCCTGATTCATACGTATGCATATTAGCAAGTTCGCCAATCAGACTCGGACAGGTGGACTCGTACAAGCTTTGTGAGTCTCTCGGCTCTTTCTCTTAGTAGGGCCGTAGGCGAAGGAAGACGGTCGTATTCATTTTGGCGGTACCTGTGAGGAGCTACTAGTCAATGTTTAGCGGTTACATTTCGATTTGCCACTCACCTGCACCCCCATACGCCGTTTCCCCCAGACTTTGGCGCGGACTTCGTCGTTTCTTATGGGATGTCCTCATCACCTGTGGCGCACCAAAGCCCGCATACACGATAGTCTGTATTTGGTATGTTGAGCTTCTCTGAGAAGCTTACTGCTGGTCACAGTATCAAGCCCAGCCTGGCCTATCAATTATATGGACGACTTACTACTTTGTATCTGTGAGTCCTAAGTTTGAACCATCAGTGAGGCCACATCTTAATTTGACCTACTAGTACAAGTCGGATCGACCCCTGTTCGCTATCGAGCCACCCTGGAAACGCTCGCTTCAGTATCATTGTGGCTAGTACGACATCAGTAGCACTTCTATATGTAGTACAGTAGCGTAGTCAGCCCTTTCATCGTTCTCAGACAAGGCTCCGTTAAAAACTACCCATGGATTTAAGGACAAGTTTTTAACTCGCCCCTACCCTCGAAGGGTTTTTGCCACGAGTTTTTAATAAATTTTTGACACACTGAAAAATGTGTTTTCCCGGTCATTTTGACATTTTTCGCTACAACAATGCAATGGTCCATTGTACAGGCCCTCGTGAAGGTATCTCTGGGTGACGTTTAATCCTCATGCCTGCCTTGACCGAATAGCCGAACCACATTAGGAAGGTCGCGTCAACACGCCAACCCGTTGCTCTCGCACTTGTCTGTAAATTTCCCAATCTATGGAGGGGTAGGTACCCCTCTACAGATCGTCGCGCACAAAACATCTAATTCGGGCAATTTTCTTACGAACCCTCTGTCAACTCTGTCAACGATATCATTCACCCGAACTGAAATAATTTAGGATTTCATGTTCCTTGTTAAGTTGTACAAAAGCTTCGAGAGTTGGCGGCTTTGTTTTATCAAAAGGATGCTTGTAAAGTTCACTGGTTGATAGCTTCTACAGCATCATACAATAAATGCGGGAAAGAAAGAATTAATGATATGGTTGGAGGTCGACATAGCCTATAGTATGAATGACGGTAGACATGTATGTTGTACTACTACACGACGAGCACCACCAGCATGAAACCGCTCGTTTATAATGCGAATGTAGCTCTCCGGGTACGTCCAGTCTGCGAAATGGAGGTAAGTCACATCGAAGGAGGACAGTATTGAACCGATGGTGGAGCATTGCAAGACTTCAAACTGAGTACTGAATGACTTGGCAGTAATAGTAATTCTGTTACAAACTGAGATCGACCGAGCTGTTGAGCTGAATGGTGACGCTTACCTCCAGGTCGGTCACGATGTAGCAACAAGATGGTACATAGCCACTTGAGCAATTCTCTGAGTAGTTTTGACACTGCTCATCATCAACGTCCCCCAGTTTAGACGAATCCTTTTGCAATATAGGTAAGCACACTGTCTTTCTACGTCTGTGGATATTTCTCACCTTCATGCAGCAATGAAGCTCGCCGTCGTCATCACAGCTAATCGGTGAACTGGACGAGGTCGTGTCAACAGCGGCCATAGCATAGACCTGGGAAAGGAGAAGGGAGATCACAGAAATTGTGAAGATTCGAACGAACATGTCGATGTGTATCGAGGTCTAAGTGAGTGTCGTTCCATGGGCAGATGTCAACCCTTTAAATCTGCCAGCTAGCGGCTCTTCACTATGGAGCCTGCACTAAATTGAGGAATACTCGGGTTAGTAAAATTGGTCAAAATTCGAACGGAATTTGAATGACATCATACTTGATACCACTAGGCCCACGGCAGCCATTGCTAGTGCTATTGCAGTTTAGGCCTGAACCGAACGTCGGATACGAACTTTTGAGAATGGAGCCGCTGTTTGGTCAGGTGTTAAATATGATTGGATGAAGGACGGTTTACGGAAATAATATGAGCTTGGCAAAGGAGGGAGATCAGAGATATCGTGAAGATTCGAACGAATACATCGGCGTATATCAAGATCTAAGCGAGTGTTGTCCTATGAGTAGATGCAGTCTTTTAATCTGTCCACCAGCGGCTTTTCACCTTGGAGCTCACCTTGAATTGGGAAGTACTAGGGTTATTAAAGTAAGTTGAATGTTCAACCAATTTTGGATATCATTATATCGGATGTTACTAGGCCCGAGGCAGTCACTAGTAGTGCTGCTGCCGTTCAGTCCTGAACTGAAGTTCGGATGCGGGCTTTTGAGTCGGAAGTCGAACGAAATCTGAATAGTATCATACGATTCATACCTGATGCCACTATGCCCACGTAATTTATTCATCGAAGCGGCCATTATTAGTGCCGTGGCTCACGCTCAGTCCTGAACTGAACTTTTACGACAAAAATTTGACAACGGGACCGGTGTTTGGTCGAAGGTTCGATTTTTTCGCATCCTTGCCCTATTTCTACGGCACTGGTTTGAATGCTTTGGATAAGCCGAATATTTAAGCTTAAGCCTTAAACTGGCACTCACCACAGTGACAGGGAAGCCTCTATATTTCAACACCAACGTACGACGAACAACTGGCGTCCAACTTGTGCGAAACTCCCTTCAAAAAAAAAATCTCCAACTCTTATCTCGGATGTTTGTACATTGTTCGACAGTAACCATATCAGGATCCGGCGGCAGATGTGCAGGGCGAACTATAGGTGCCTTCTCAGTCTCCCGAAGTACTTCGGCTCTTTAAAGTCTGCGGTGAGGGCGGGGATCGCGGCAAAAAATGACTTTCAGTGCTTCTGCCACAGCCATCCGCAAAAGACAGAAGAAGGGAAACGGAATGCATTCAATGGTATCATTTTATCATCCCATTCAATGATCAGTAACGTTATGATGCATTGATGTTTGAGAGGCATGCTTTTACAGTCCGATGTGAAATTCCAAACTCCGCGCTTCGCCACAATTGAGAGTCAGACAAACAATCACGTGTGGGCCCTCATATAGACTTGGACTATCTCTGATACATGACAGTCCTCATGGGAAGTCATCTATTGTTGCCATGCTCTACTAGCATGTAGTCGCTCTAAATAACGTTCTCATCTGTTTATCGGGTTCTCTGATGCGGCATATGTGTTCCATTCCTGCCAAGTGGCCACCTGGTGCGCCTTGTACTCATCGAGACTAGTCGATGGAATATAACGAGATCCCACGTAGCCTGTCACGGCGCCGTATGATGCATAGTTTTAGCCATATCGTAAGTTTTCATTTTGCTACGTCACCATGTGCCTACTGGTGGAAAACTTCAAACAAGTACTGAATGATGCATATAGATTCGAGTCATTTTTTCCAGAGTGGAGTACTATGTATTCAATACAAAATTATGGTATAATTCATTTGTGAGTCAACGCGACGTATGCCCTTCATGCACCGTGGTTTAAAACACCTGACAGCCTCCTGTCAACTTGACGTATCCTCTTCGCAGTAATAATAGTCCTATTACAAACTGAGATGGACCGAGCCGTTTGGTTGAGTGGTGACACTTACCATCATCTCGGCATCGATGTAGCAACAAGATGGTAAGTAGCCATCTGAGCAATTCCCTGAGCAGCTTTGGCACTCCTCATCATTAACATTCCCAGGCTGGGACGAATCCTTTCGCAACACATGTAAGTACAAGTGTTTTTCTACGCCTTTGAATCTTTCTCACCTCCATGCAGCAGCGAAGCTCTCCGTCACCACAACTAGTCGAATTGGATGAGGCCGTGTTCTGAACAGCAGTCATAACAGCGGTCATGGAAAGGAGAAGGAAGACAACAAAAATCGTGAAGATTCGAACGAACATGTCGATGTGTAACACGAGGTCTAAGTGAGTGCTTTCCATGGGCAGATGCAGCCTTTTAAAACTTTCGGTCGGGGGCCTCTCGCCATGAGCCTACACTGATCTGGGTAGTACTAGGTCAGTAAAGTGAGTTGAACGTTGAGTGAACTTTGAATGACATCATACTGGATGTCACTTGGTCCGAGATGTTCGCTCATCGAGACCGCCATTATTAGTGCTCCAGGTCAGAATCGAGTCTAGATGAAAATATTTATTAATGCGACCGGTAGGTCCGATATATTGTAATGCAGGAAGGTTTCCGGTTTTATCGCATGCTTGCCTTGTATCTACTAGTATTATACGGGCGGTAGTATTGAGGCTTCGTGGTAGGCCGATCCCCGAGCTTAACACTTGATACACAAGATAAGGAGACAAAGGTGCAAGACAAGAGGTGTGCAAAATAAGTATTGCGGATGTGTGGCGTAACACAGTTGTCAAGTTGAACTCTACTAATACACAGCCACTTGAGATTATCTAGACCGTTCTTGAAGTTCCTCGATAACGGCCCGTCAGAAGTTAATAAAATCATGCGCCGCTCGAGTACTAAGGAGCCATTTTTGCATCTAGATTGATCATCGAATGAATGAAAAACACGTGTTGAGGCGCTGCCCACTAAATGAAGTGAGCATGAGACCAAAGCAAATTCGAGTCGTTCCTCTCCTCATCACCGTGACCTAAGAGAGGTTGGTGCATGGCCACGTTCCATGGTACGACGAGGCAAATTTCAAACTCCACACATCGCCTGCCAAATCCCTCCGTGTCAAGTAATCAGACGTTTGTAGTTACCGGCGTAGAGTCTAGTTGTTTGATTCTGCAGACGTGCATATGCACATAATGTTCAATCCAATTTTGTATTACATGAAGTTAAGCAGCGTTACGACTTGTCGGGGGTTTGCTGCCAGGCATCATTGGTATGGATCTCCTCCCGCAAAAGTCGATTAGTGAGATTTGAAGGAATGCTGACTGAGGGACTAACTGAAGAGTCCATTCTTGAATGCTGGGTAATAATCGTTTGCCATGATGCGATATAAAGCCAACTCTGAGATCTGATCCCTTGTCATCGCTTGCGAGTTACATCTCACAATCTATAATAAATTCATGGCAGAATTATGCAAAGGTCTGGTTAGGTAAGTTCTTGTTATCTGCTCATCGAGCTTTGAGAATTGACGAAACTACGCAAGTCACTGGATCGTCCTCGGGATCTGGTCGCTCCGTGACCGAACTCCTGTTGAAGAACGGAAATAGAGTGGTTGCAACTTTACGCAGCAAAGAAGCACTGTCCGATCTCGCCGAACAGTATCCATCTTCTCAGTTGTCGATCGTCCAGACGGATGTTGTAAAGACTTCCGAGGTTGTTGCCGCATTCGCAAAAGCCAAAGAGGCATTCGGACGTGTCGATGTTGTATTCAACAACGCGGGTATGGCTATTCTCGGAGAGACGGAGTCCAAGAGCGATCAGGATGCTCGTCAGATCTTCGAAGTGGACTTTTGGGGTGCATCAAATGTCACGAGGGAGGCTATTCAGATATTCGGGGAAGTGAACAAACCAATAGAGGGAAGATTGTTGCAGGTTTCTTCTTCGTTGGGATTACGTGGAAGAGCTGCAGCGTCCTACTATGCCGCATCGTGAGTGAACATGGCCATGCGTGATTTGAATGCTCATCAACAGCTACTTCTGATAGCAAACACGGTAAGCGTGTTCGCTTAAGGCCATCGTAGTATCTCAAACTGGTTCTCCAGCATTGGAAGGATTCAGCGAGAGTCTCGCACAAGAACTGGACCTGGCTTGGAACATAAAGGTTTGGTCAATCTAGTCTGAAGACGGAACTCGAGCTAATGGCAGGTAGGTTACCATAATCGAACCAGGTCCATTCCGGACGGGGATGTTCAAGGGTAACATGCAACTTGTTCCTCAACATCCAGCATATGCAGACCCAGAGCTACCTGGTTCTAAACTCCGCCAGTTTATGAATTTAACTCTGGCTGACGGAGACACTGAGAAGGCGGCGATAGTCATTAAGAAGCTCACTCACCTGGACGATCCGCAACTAAGATTTCCATTGCACAGGCTTGCGGTCAGAGCTGGGAGAGAGAAGGCAAAGAGTCTCACTGAAACCATAGACAGATACGAATCTTGGACGGAAAACGTCTACTTCACGTAGTACAGCTGACATGGTATATTCACTTTGGACGGCATTGGAGTGGATTAACACTTACTCTGTCTTACACACAACGCTAGCCCTAACAAAATGAGTCAGTACATTTCTCACCTTTCGATGATTGGTGCCATTGATATTGTTCCATCGCGTGTCCGCAAAACCCGTAGCGACGTATAACTCATTCTAGACGGGCCCCCAGTGAATGCTGCGGATGTTAACATTTTCAAGAACACAAAACAGAAAGACATATACTCATCAACTTCTCCTTGTCGCTTACTTGCTCCCTCAAGAATCTGGCCCCTGCGTTGTCCAGCCGTCGATGTTCACCAAGAGACAGGGATTGAAAGCATGCCAACACAAATAGCTTATATCTATATGTGTCAGTGTACATAGCTATTACAGGCAAATATTCCACTGACCTTTCTTCCGTAAAACACAATTTCTGTGTGCTGAGCATTGGTCTCTGAATAATAGATATTAGCCTAGACGACCGCTGCAAGTCGGATCACGTCCAAAGGAAACTGTTTTCCTGTCGATTCACGACTCGTGCACTTCGTCAGCCACGACTTTGCTGCCTTTCGAGTCCATGTCAAGTTCACGAGTCGTTGATGAGCAAGTTCAAATTTGGCTTGCTTCAATTTACAATTTCACATCGTGTACGTACTGGTCATGTGATCGCGTCATTCATAGTAATTGCGAAACAACCACAAGAGTGCTGCCTCTGAATATAATTACAAAAGTATCAGGTTTATCTCCAGCACCACAATCAAGAACTATAAGTGCGGCACTAAACTAGTCCACGACACCTCCTTGTATGCGTCAGGAGGAAGATTACGCAAAGTGGTGAACATAAGTACCAAGAGGACGGCACGAGCTGCGATGTACAACATGGCAAATGCGAAACAAATCACAAAATATATACTTTCAATGACGTAGTTTTCTGAATCGGGTGAGTGCCGTAGATTATGGGTGAATAGTTCAGTGTCAAAATAGGCACTGAAACAGAGGCAGGGTGTGCAAGTTGCAGCAACGGCACTTATACGCCATAGTACCTGTTCCTCGTATGTGGGGAACGCAAAAAACCAAGCCATGCAATGAATGCCGCCAAATGTTGTTGCCAAAAGATATCCAGCTTGCTGAAGAACCATCCTGTCCGAAACTTTGAGTTTGATGCTGCCATCAAATGTTGGAACTTGGAGCTTTCGAGATGTGGGAATGTCACGCCACCCTATCAGTTCTAGAATTGGGCGGAAGAATCGGGGCAAGTACCGAAGTCGAGTGAATTCGTCTCTGTCACTGACACTACAGCAGACATAATAAGCGGCGGTATAATTGTTGGAGTGCATGCATACTCAATGTAATCCTCTGGCTTTGACTCGGTCGATTTCCAATACACTGGATGTGGGCATTGCACATCGAGAGCCTTGTCCCACCATACAGCATAAATTAGGAAGTTGAGAACCGCAAAAGCGAATGTCCCCACTTCCAGCTGCGTAGTTTCGAGACGATAGATGACACGGGCGATGAGTTGCATAAGAAACCAGGCCACCTGAAGCATGACCAATCCTTTCGATATCGCATTGCCTTTGCTCTTGTCCTGTATCTGCGTTTCCGTCAGGGTAGGGACGTCGATACAACCCTCACGTATCAGTTTGAGAATGTAATCAGGACGAAGTGTAAGGTAGGGTTTCCCGTCCACGTAAAGCATGAAACCACCCATGAGCACGAATAAGCTGTGCGTCTGAGTCCACGTATAATCTAAGCCTAAGGACGCAAATGAGTCTGCATTTAGGTGAGCACGAATCGGGCTTACCTTCCGCGCAAGACTCGTATGGCCCTGACTGACTCCGCCTTGTAACCCGCCTCACAAGAGCATAAAGGAAATGCCAAGAAGACACCAGCACAGATAATACGCCTTTAACAGCCAGTTGAAAGAGGCGCGTGGTAGCCCAAAGCCAGAGGCGAATGAACTGAATAAAGGAAATTTCGGCTTCAGGTGCTTCAACAGAATCCATTTCTAAGGACGAGTATAGTGAGTTGTGAGATGCGGGATTTCCAAAAGCATAACTCACCTCGAACTTTGGGATACCCCGATTCCTTGAACTGCTTTGTAACTTGATTAGCGCTGAACCGCTGGCGCATAGCCCATGTGACGATCAGTTCAGGAGCAATTAGTGCCATTACCATCATGCCAAGTTGTCGCCATAGCATATCAAGGGAGCTGCTGTCCTTAGGATGCGGGATATTGGGGTGCATGGCACTGTATGTGCACGCAAACAGAGTAAGGACGGAGCTGGAGATGATGGTCCATAAGGTTCTGGTCGTGAATGATGGGGCTTTGAAACTGTCATTAGTGGTAGTATTTGTTGTGTTTGTTGTGGGTGTAGCTTGGATTACTCCAACGAGGTAGAGGAAGACGCAGAAAAGTACTAAGCGCATTATTGGATGTGGGTGTATCACGGTATCCATCTTGTTCACTATTTGTATTTTACTGACGGGCGTTAGTACAACGAGAATGAACTGGTCTTATCTGTCGAGCGTTCCGACGTTCACGAAAACAAGATACATGAGGCCTTCTACACGTGCCTTGCTCCCAAGATCTGGGAGCCAAGGTACTTCAGAATGGTAATGGGACACCTATGACTCCAGGCATGCTGGCGCTTCAAGAGCGGGGTTTGATCAGGCCAAACTAAATGCGACATGTGAGCGTCTGTTGTACTCATATTCCAACGTCGATAAGCACTTGTCCCTATCCCAAAGGTGATGCCCGTAACGCGTGTCCAACGGCAAAATTTGATTTACCTTCTAGCGCGCAGAATGACAGTTGATCATGGGTCATCTTTCTTCGCAGACCTGGAGTTTTTATTTTGTTATCGATAATCTTGCGCGCTCAGTGCACAGAATCATGACTGACCGTTCCCATAGTCATCCATGCTTCCTTTGGTTGCATATATAACCCGGTCCTGGCGACCCACAACTTCCACGATGGGTTCACAGCCTGAATCGACAAATCTTGTGTCCTCTTCATCCTCGCTCTTGAAGTGGCCTCCGCGAGACCTTCAAAGGTGATTCAAATGGTTTCGTAGAGGAAGAAGAACTTTGTAGGTGATATGGGACAACATGAGGGTGGGAATTTCATAGGGAATACCGAATACCAACCTTTACTTGGTTAGTGATATGCTGATGACTTGCCGAATTCGATCAACAATACACTGCACTTGCTGAAAATGTGGATGGTTCAGAGTTAAAGTAAGAACCCAAACAAGGGCAGGGTGTGCAAGTTGCACCAATGGCACTTATGTACCATAGTACCTGTTCCTGGTATGTGGGGAGCGTAAAAAACCAAGCCGTGCAATGGATGCCGCCAAATGTGGTTGCCATAAGATATCGGCAGCTTGCTGAAGAACCATCCTGTCTGAAACTTTGAGTTTGATGCTGCCATCAAATGTTGGAGCTTGAAGCTTTCGAGACGCATGAATGTCAGCCCAGCCTATTAAACAGCCCTTTCTCGCTGTCCATGATGATGAGTAACTTGTTCAACTTGAGTCCTGTTCACCTAAAGAAAGTTTGGATCGTCATGGCACACGTGCAGGTCATGTGCTCGCATTGTGAGCTGTGCGATTTGTCGTCGTGTTGACCACGAGAATGCCACATGCGAGTATCATGAAATAAGTATGAAGTGTATCTCGAGCACAATAATAAAGAGCTATAAGTGCGGTACCAAACCAACCCACGACACCGCCTTGTATGCATCAGGGGGAAGATTGCGTAAAGTGGTAAACATAAGCACCAAAAGGACAGCACGAACTGTAATATAAAACACGACAAAAGCGGAACAAATCACAAGGTATACACTCGACATGACGTGCTTTAATGAATCAGGAAAGCGCCGTACTAAAGAGTCTAAGTAGAGACTCAAACAAAGCCAGGGTGTGCAAGTTATAGCGACGGCACTAATGCGCCATAGCATCTGTTCCTGTTCTGTGGGGAAGGTAAAGAACCAAGCCATACAATGGACGCCGCCAAATATGGTTGCCATGAGCACGGCAGCAAGCCGGAGAACTTTCCTGTTCGAATCTTCGATAGTGACGCTGCCATCAAATGTTGGAACTTGGAGCTTTCGAGATGTGGGAACGTCTGCCCAGCCTAATAGTTCTAGAATTGGGCGGAAGACTCGAGGCAAGTACCGAAGCCGAGAGAATTCGTCTCTGTCACTGAAACTAAGGCAGAAATAATCAACAGTGGTATAATCGTTCAGGCGCATACATACTCAATGTGATCCTCTGGCCTTGACTCGGTCGACGTCCAGTACACTGGATGTGGACATTTCACATTGAGAGGCTTGTTCCACCACACAGCGTAAGTTAAGAAATTGAGAACCGCAAAAGCGAGTGTCCCCACTTCCAGTTGGGTGGTTTCGAGACGATAGATGGCGCGAGTGATGAGTTGCATCACAAACCAAGCCACCTGAAGCATAACCAATCCTTTTGATATGGCATTGCCTTTGCTCTTGTCGTGGATCTGGTTTGCCGTTAGGGTAGGGACGTTGATACACCCTTCATGAATCAGTTTGAGAATGTAATCAGGACGTAGTGTAAGGTAGGGTTTCCCGTCCACATAAAGCACGAAACCACCCATCAACACAAAGCAACTATGCGTCTGAGTCCACATATAATCTACGGATGCACATGAGCTAATGTTCAGTGCTAGGTGTGGACGAATGGGCTTACCGTCTGAGTCGGACTCAGATTGCTCTGATACAATCCAGCTTGCGACCCACATCATGGGAGCACAAATACAACGCGAAAGAGACAACAGCACAGATAATGCACCTTTAACAAACAGGATCAAGAGGCGAACTAAAGGCAAGCGGAGAAGGAAGCGAATGAAGCGATTTCCAGTTGCAGGTGCTTCGATAGACTCCATGTCTAAGGACGTGCGATATAGTGAGTTGTGAGCCTGAGGGGCAGAGTGTTCAGAAGCACAACTCACCTTCAGACTCCGGAGGAACATTGAAATACCCCGATTCTTTGAACTGTCTTGTAACTTGATGAGCGCTGAACCACTGGCGCATAGCCCATGTGACGATCAGTTCAGGAGCGATTAGCGCCATTGTCATCAAGCCAAGTTGTCGCCGTAGGATACGAAAGGGACCGCTGTCCTTGGGACTTGGGATATTGGGGTGGATGGCGCTGTATATGCATGCAAAAAGAGTGAGAACGGAGCTGGATATGATGGTCCATAGGGTTCTGGTCGTGAATGGTGGGGTTTTCACAATGTCGCTAGTAGTAGTATTTGTTGTATTTGTTGTAGGTGCGGCTTGGATTACTCCAACAACGTAGAGGAAGATGCAGAGAAATACTAGTAGACGCATCATGGGATGGGTGTATCGTATGCATCCTGTTCACTATTTGTATTTGACTAGCGGGTGTCATCCTAAGGCAGTCCAATGTACCATGAAGCCCTATACAGGGCTTGCTTAATAATTGCTGAATGACAGTGACAGCTGGGCCTGATGCCCTGTAAAAACTGGTACGGATGGGCTTGGACTCGGAAGTGCTCTGGTGTGAATTACCTGATTTGTCCTGTGTCAACGTGTGCCATATCTGTACGCCCTGGAAGACAATTGACAAAATGGCAGGTCATAAATTCGAAGATTTCGTGGCCGATACATGTACAGGACGCCAGATGTTGTAGCTATCCAGAAGATGGGAAGACGACGCACAAGGAAGAGATTAAGCATAAATGACGAGCTCCTGGTGCGCCCACTGTATTGGCTCATAGAAATCACATCAATCCAAAACACTGAATATGCACTCCCTACCTCGAAAAAAATATAGCATGCACTATGGCACCATCTTCTTTCTCTCGCTCACTCGTGTCTTCCAGAGTCTTCACTCTATAGATGGTGAAGCGTGGTTTACCAAAGACAAGGATTGAAAGTTGAATATTGAATGACGGTCAGCTCGACATCGGACATCTGGTAACTGGCAATGTAGCATATTTTGGTTTGTTTACTTACACCAGCAGCTTCAAGTTGAACTACTCCGAGTTGATCGCACATCCTTTGACACAAACCAGCTCCCAGGTGTGAGCTCCCCTATTACAGGCAAATTGCACACAAACCCAATTTTCTAGCGCACACTGCACGTATGTGGGGTCGCCGCGTCAAAAGGTAACTGTCTCTTCATCGATTGGGAATGTTGCTACCTGTTCATCAGTCGTCTGTTCTGTTAGCCACGGCGTATAGACTAGGCCTATTTCGCTTCAGTCCATACTTATGAATAAGTTCAAGCAAGACTTGGGTAAATCATGTGGAATTGGAATATGGAATTGGACAGAGTCTTAGACTCCATATTGCCTGAGCGATCTTTTTTTAACCCAGGTTAGACTCCGGACTAAATTTGTGCTCCTGGGCAGGGGACAGGATCCGGACAGAATTCATTTGGGACTCTACCTGGATTCCAAAGGCATTATCAGGGGTCCTTGAGTACCTCGCTGGCTCCTTGCAATTCAATTGCATTTGCCAGCTCAAGCCACTGGCAGGAGTCAATCTGGAATATGACTTGTGCTTGACAAGTCTGGCCAATATTACCCTCAAGTTTTCTGTTGCCTACGCGAGCATGTTCAATTATTCTCAAGATGTGGTCTTGGTAGAAAAGCGATGATTTATCCCACTCCTCATTTACCGTTGCTGCCAAGTTGTCTCCTTTCCGCGTCGAAAGCGGAGCGTCTAGGTGAGTTATAGCGTCCTCATTTGCAGCCGCTATATTTCATGTTTTACCTCATCCCTTGTCGATCTCTGCCAAGGAGATATCAATCTGACATATTGCTAATCAACGCGCATTTTATCCATTAAATGGAGCGGCGTCTGCTTGTGGAGAGTGTGAGAAAACAGAAATATCTGCGAATAGCATGTATACCTATCAGATGTTACGAGTAATTCTTTTATTCTTCATTCGGCCTCGTCGTCGTCGTCGTCGCAATATACTGATTACGCTCAGTTATATTCTCACACTTCCCGCAGAATAACATTTTTAGAGCTTGACTGATATTCCACTCACGCGCACCCGCAAAGGAACAACAGAGCCTCATTATCAACACTCACAAAGTGTGATTATTGTTACCCTGCGCAGGGAAAAGAGATATCCGGTCTTCGCTCACAGTACGAGTCTAAGAGCTATTCCAAAGGCTCCAGAAGCTCCAGAAGCCCCATCTATACGAAATTCAGGTCCACATCGCCTCACGATCCCAATGGCATGGAACTCGCTATACGCGTGCGGCGTACCCGTTGAGCGCTCGGTGGCAGTAGAATACGTAGACGAGTCTACGCATTCGACTTCGTGGGGGATATCAGCGGCAATATGAATCCGAGACGCTTGCGCTTGATCAGGCATAACAAAGAAGGAATGACTTGGGCTCTAAATTATCTGCTACAGATGTGACTGGCCTACCCAACAAGCATATTTACGTCAAGAACCAGCTTTGCACTCAGTGTAGGGAGAGCTGGTGCAACTACATAGTCTCACCGAAACTGTGGATGACTACAAATTGTGGTTGGAAGACGTGTGTATTAAACAGCTGATATATATCATGCACTATGGTCTTAGACGCGTCGCAATTTTGAGTATGAACATGAATGTGACACCGTGACAATGTCGGCGTGACATGTATTTGCAGACATCTCATTTCATTGGGATACGCTAGAACAAGAAGCAAGGAGGCTACCACTACCCAATGGCTCCGATAAAAACCAGCAAGGTCTCCTCGGCTTCAAAATCTTCTATCCAAAAAAATTCTGCGTCTAGTGTTGGAGCACCCTCCCAACTTGCTCAATCAAGCCGTAAGGGCAAGAAGGCATGGCGGAAAAACATTGACATACAGCCTGTGGAACAAGGCCTAGAGAGTCTGCGTTCAGAAGAGCGAGTCATCGGGTGTGGAAAATTCGCGCCTTGCATGTCTAGCATCTAATCTCGTATATCGACTTTGACAGCTCCACGCTACAGAAACAGACAGACGATCAATTATTTGTTGTGGACACGAAAGGAGACGATAAAGGTAAGCTCATGCAAGACATCTCTAGGTAAAAAGTATAAAACTGTCTAGTCCGCAAGTCGTTACCGCGGTACTCTAAGGCCGAGTTGACTTCTACGAAAATACTTTCCCAACGATCTGCCATTCCTGCCGTGTTTTCTCGCCCAACAAAAGATTCTATACCATCACGATCAAAAGTAAGTAGAGCTGACAAGGAGCGTCTTCTTCGCATCGCAAAGCGGCCCAGGAAGGGTCCATTCAATGCGGTTATGGACCACACAGAGTTTGGTGCAGGGAGTGCTTTAATCGATGTTAGCGCTGCTGTGAAACATAGCGGTTCTTATGACCCATGGGCTATGGAGAAGGTGGAAGAAGTGGCTGATGGATTAGAGTATACGAAGAAAGCCAAGATCAAGGCAAGACCTCCCTTCCTTGCCAACAGCAATTTGCTGATGATAGTCACAGCGCCCGGAGTTATCTCATCCCCGCGATGTCATAGAAGTTCCTGCTGTTTTGGAGCCACATCAAGGATCATCATACAATCCCCCTTCTGCCGCACGTAATGAGCTTATTGTGGAGGCATGCAAGATAGAGCGACGTAGACAAGATGAAGCGGATCGATTAGCCGAAGTTCGACAAAAGGTTGCCAATGCACGCGCACTTGCCACAGATGTCACAGAGGGTCTTCCACTCGGAATGATTTTGGATGAGATACCCGCAGATGACGGCGAAACAATCGTACAGCACGATGCAGTTGTACCCAAAAAAATATCGGCACGTAAAACTAAGCAGCAACGAGCAAAGGCGGTGCGATTGCGCGAGGAGGTAAGCCCTTTGTCGCTTCCTTGCTATTGCCGCTGAGCTCGCACCAGAAACAAGCCTTGGCAGAAAAGGCGGCAAGAAAAAAAATGCTTGCCACCATCACAATGGCTAAATCTCTCCGATCAAGTGCAGAGAAAGTTAGCCAACAACAAAATCAAGCGCGATTAGCAAGGCAGTTGGCGCTGAAGATGAAGCTCAGAAAGGGCTTAGCTGGCCAACGACTGGGGAAATATAAAGTTCCTGAAAATGAAATTGAGGTTCAGATCGGGGAGGATCTGAGCGAAAATCTACGAACGCTCAAGGTATGTTGACTGCGCCAGTTTTATCGACATAGCTGATAATCTCCTATCAGCCTGAGGGCAACTTATTCCGTGATCGCTTCCGTAGCATGCAGCAAAGAGCCCTCATTGAGCCTCGCGTACCCGTCGTGTGAGTATTCGTGATGTGTTTTAGCGCAGTTTTTGACCTTCTTTTCGCTGTAGCCCGACTAAGCGAGCGAAACTAAAAGAGTTTGAGAAGCACGCCTGGAAAAGATTTGAGTAGCTAGTATTACTCTTTCATATGTTGCCGACCATCAAGCTCCAGGTGTTGACAGGACGCACTTGTGTTCAGCGCATGTTGTAGGTCAGTTGTATCTCATGACGCGGTACCCGTAAATTTTGCAGTAAGTTTGGTGAAATTTCGACAGGGCTACTTCTGTGGGTGTGGCTCTTCGGTCAGACGTGCATGTTTCTACGACATGACAGGGTGCTGAAGCACCAATCACAATAGTTCCTGGTTCAGCCCGCGGTCACGTCAAATTTAATAGTTAGCTGATTGGTGCACGCGTCATGATTCGCGGAAGTGGACGGGCGTGCATGGAAATCGTAGCTTCAACAGAACGTATGAACGCTCATCTCTGAACACCTCGGAGACCGTTTCTCCATTGATAATCACTTGGACTGCTGAATGTTTGCAATGTCGAAGCGCCACGTGTAGTCGATGACCAAGTGTTGCACGCAAAAAGGAGACTTGGCTGATTCAGTAGCTTCGGACAATGTAGCAAAGACTTCGGAGACAACGAACCACTGAGTGTAGCACAGAATGAGTGTCAAAAAATGGACACTGTGGGAGTTGAACCCACGACCTTACGCATTCACGATATGCGAAGCGTACGCGCTACCAACTGTGCCAAGGGCCCGCGTGTGTCAAATCCACTTATGCAATACGTCAGTGGTTGAATCATCACAATACAACAGAACGCAACCGGGCGCCCGAGGACTTCGTTTCATATCCAAGTGTGTTACGGATGGAAATTGATTATATTGAAAACGAAGTCTCCACACTACAACCTCCCGCAGTCCAGAGGAGACGAATCCGACCAGTAGACGATGCTCATCCTTTCGATCTAGACGCATACATCTCGGGATATTCTGGTATGTACGATATCGAAACACCAGCTTAGATCGAAGTTTCCGACTGTCAAAGGTCGTACTGCATTTGACAGGCTTGTGCACATTATCTCAACATGTCCGATTCTGGCACCGCAGGCATTGAAGCTGGCGTTCACGCAGATCGAGGAACTTCGCGATCCAACACTTTATCAGACCGCGATGAATGCATATGATGCTGTGGCGGACCTTCCAGACGTGCAGCTCCCTCCTACTAGCGAGTTGTGCTCGGTCAACACGACATGGTGCGAAGAGGTTACAAAAAAGAATCAAGCGGAGAGAACGAAGCTAGAGGTCGAGCTGAAGACGTATTCTAACAACATGATTAAAGAGAGCATAAGGGTACGTCCATCATCTAGGTTCTTTCAGAGATTTTGGATATCATCTTTTTGTCAGATGGGTCACAGGGACCTCGGTGACTTCTACCGCGCCACTGGAGACTATACTCAAGCACTCAAACATTATACGAAATCAAGGGAGTTCTGCTCAACCAGCCAGCATGTTCTTGATATGTGTCTTTCTGTGTTAGAGGTAGATTTTAGTTCATTGATATTATCGTCTGGTCATTCATGCCTGCTATAGCTTGTGATCGAACAACGCAATTACTCACACATATCTTCCTATGTCTTCAAGGCGGAGGGTGCACTTGATACGGCAAGCGCAGCAGCAGCATCCAGTGCTGCTGCCAGTTCTGCTGCCCCACCACCTAAAAAGTCAGCAGAGCGTGACCAGGTACAGTCCAAATTGGACTTTGCGATGGCTTTGTTCCACTTAGCACAAGCCAACTACGAAAAAGCTGCGCAATTTTTCCTGAAGATCGGCCCTCCGGACTCTCTTGGCGATTGGATTGGCAAGGTATGGGAGATTCTCTGTCCAGCCAACCTGTGTTTATGCTCTTCTAGCTCGTCGCTCCTGGTGACTTTGCGGTATATGGGACTCTATGCGCTCTTGCCAGCATGTCGCGATCTGCAATCAAGTCTCAACTTACGGGAAACGCTATTTTCTCTGCATACATTGAGCAAGAACCTTATGTTCGAGACTTGACTCAGTCATATCTTTCAAGCGATTTTAAGAACGTCCTAGAGCTTCTTGAGCGGTACTCGGTATGCTTTCTATATCTATCAATATCTATATTCCTGATTCGTCTTTCTTGCACCAGACGCGGCATTACGTGGACATTCATATATACTCACATGTATATGATTTGACGAACCTTATTCGTAATGTCGCGCTCGTACTTTACTTCCAGCCATTCCAGACCATTCGCCTCGATAGAATGAGCGCGGCATTTGGCTGGACGGTCGACGAGGTTGAGAAGGAGGTAGTTGCGCTCATTCAAAGCGGCCAGATTCAAGGCCGAGTTGACAGTCAAAACAAGGCCAGTGATACTTGTTGGCATAGCTATAGGGAGGATATTGCTGACACTAATTACACTACAGATCTTGAAAGCGAGGAAGGTAGATCATAGGGCCGAATTGTTCGCGCATGCCATAAAGACCGCTGCTGAGATACAAAGCACTAACCGCAAGCTACTGTTGCGGATGCGTCTGTGAGTGTATACAGGAGGTGTGCAGCTCACGCTTTAATCTGAGTTTGCAGACAACAAGCAGACTTGGTGGTGAAGCCACCGAAGTCGCGCCGTGAACAAGATCGTACGGCGGAACTTTTGCAAGGCGATTGACAGCTACAAGTCGGTGAGGCTATTGTACTGTATTTCTACTGCATGGTCAACATTGTGTCATGATCATTTCTGATGTTCATATAGCTATCAGCGAAGAGGTTCTGCGTAAGATTTGCCCTACATCGCTTATTCCATGAAGGCAGTCTCGCTCGGTACTTTTTGAGACTGCGTCTTTCTGAGACATTGTGAGGTCGAAGTGTTTTGGGAAGCCGAGGGGTATCATGTTAGAGGACAAGTATATGAAGTTCTCTGATCAATTAGATTCCAACGTTAAGGAAACTTGATTCGGAAGAATGGCGAGCTGATCTGTTCGCAAAGCAGGCTGCTCTGCGATGGCTTGTCTCATGGACGGGCTGGCCAGTTTACTACTAGTGCTTTACCGAATGTCGCCCACCAAAATTGGCAGTCTTCGTCCTCAACAGGTCGTTGGTGCTCCATCACTTAGGACTTAGTACTAGCTAGTATGGCCCAACTATCCTCACCATGATGTCATATTACGTCAGATATGACATGCATATGTGGTGCGCACAGACCAGCATAGTGGTTCCAGCCACTTACCTCATGCACGATTACCCCGTCGTTGATTGGTCGTTGATATAACCTAGATTCTAGATCACGTGACTTATCGCTGAAGCGCTAGTTCCAACTTCATCCTTAACTTGGGTTGTGTGGTTATTCTTGCGCGTCTCAATTTTCCAGTATGCCATATATATCCCAAAGCCTTTTAGCTTGCCTGGCTGTCATATATATACATATGTTATAATGTACAATGTCCCAATGTCAATTACGTAGTCTGAGCATCCTCAGAGCTAGCTACATTAGTAGGGTTACCGTCGGTGGCTCTCGGTCTCATCTCCGAAGCCCTAGACCGCAACACCTATATAAAGTGGCTCCATCAACCCCGGTCTTCACATTCGCCCACCATCATGGATGGAATGTATGCACCACCACAGCTGTTTCCACACAGTACTAGTCCTAGTCAACCAATACAGCCCTCCAGGCAAGGGATAGACAAGGGGAAAGGAGTCGGTTAGTACACTCCACATACAGGGAAGCTATCGCTCATATCCTTCATAGATCGACCAGTCGGTACCAGTTTGGATCGTTTTGCCCAGGGCTCATATTCCCGAGCATCTGCACCATCGTTCACGATCGACGAGATGGACGACGACGATGAGCCCTTGGCATCACATGCACCCTCAGTATTGAAAAGTGATACGGTGGACTCTATCTGCATGTCTGAGGATTCGGACGACGACCTCTATCAATCAGTAATATCTGGTGAAGCAGAAGACTTTGTAGGTCCACTTCCTCTAGGTTTACGTTCATCATGATGTGGGCTGGAGTTCTCACGTTCTGATTCAGATGGACGTGGAAGATTCCTCTCCCCATAGTGATGTTCGTGACCTCGCCCAGTCAATTAATGGAATGTATCGGGTGTTGGATCTGATCAACGAAGAAGGGAGTGGTGGGCTAGGTATCTTCACTCTCCTTGACAACTTTACCTTCGTTGACCTTTTGTTTTAGTGGACAAAGTTATCATAGCCCAAGACTCACTCCGCGCATTCATAAACAGTGTTTGTCCTGGTACATATGTGTCCATGACGAAAGTAAACTTCAGCGCGTTAGACCGCTTCGTCGTAAAGCCTGTTGGCGTGTACGGAAGTAAGACTGAAATTGTACGACTCCTGTCATCTCTGGGTGTCGTCAATGAAGAAATGTGAGATTCGTGCCAGTATTCAGATTGGCACATTGATAAACTTTATCCTGTAGCGCAAAACAGCTCATCGCAAACCAAAGCGATTCCAGCGTTTCGATGCCGAGTCTTCGTTCTGGGCTGTACATCGTCCGTGCAGCTTGCGAGACTACACCTGACCAACAGCTTTTCCTCATTTACTGGCCCGAAGATTCAACATGGGATGACTCAGCTCCTTCATCTGTGAGACGCAACCGCGTCACTTTCATGAGGTCCGTCAAGTCTTTCTTGGTTTAGGTACTGCTCCTGACAAAAACACCAGATACCTCATGAAAATGTGTGATCAAGTCACAGCACTCATTTCTCCCCAGCATGCTCGATCAATCGTATGGAATGCCCAGGAAGGCGAAGACGCCATCATGGATATGGACGAAGACCATGATGAGTCCAGTAGGCTGTTCACGTTTGAAGTCGCGAAAACAAATGAGCAGGAGGAGGCAGTAAAGCCGCGCCCGGGATTCAAGGTTAGTCCAATTTAATCGATATGAGTGATTGAGTACTTAGAGCCGCCTCTATAGGCTACGTCCAAGCATATAGCCATGCCCCAGCCTCATTCAGAGGCACCAGTGGATGTCAAATTGCTTAAGCCTGAGTTGTTGCACGGTGAGACGACTCAAGGGTTCATGACCGTCGCATTTCAACCAGGCAGGCTCAATGCCGAACCCATGAAAAACCAATCTTTAACTAGCATCCAGTTGCGCAATTACTTGTGGGTATTATACTGAGCAGCTCGACTTTAGCCGTCAATTGACACTTTCATAGAAAGAGTGATGCCTTACTGATTAGAGAGGGCCTGGATGCAGATGCTCTGAGGATTCTGGTATACGGTGGCATCCAGGATCGTTTCCGACAACAGTGTGAACAGTTTTGGCGGCAATCCACGACTATCGCATCGAATACTAGGTCCAGCATGGAGTCAGATATGATAAGGATTACAGAGGACGTGAAGAAGGGGGAACCTCTCCTGACTAAAGTTTTTCATCAGGCCTTGGTCGATGCTATCATCGAGAAATTTCCGTGCGTTTTTAGTTTGCACACTTTACCTACGTCTGATCGAGTCCTAGCACCTTCACTTACGAACATTTCTCATGTCCTACGGAATGCAAGCAGGACGGTCCGTCAACTCTAGGTCTGTCCTCCGCGTGTTCGCTTTGTCTTGGAATAATGTCATTTACAGATTCGTCCATGGCCGATACTTCAGTTGGTACCGACTCTTCGTGAGTCATACGCATAACAGGTCCTCGTGTATTATTGATATCATTTTTCAAGTATCTCCGCTATCAATTCATCTCTGCATCCCACTGGAAATGAACAGGAACGTCATTCAACGCGAGGCATGTGATGTTTGCGATGTTCTACATTTTATTAACTAGTTGTTCAGATGAACTTAATGGTCTCATTGCCTTGTATCCAAACATAGGCGAAGAGCTTCGTCGCAAGGTGCATTCGGAGAAAATTAACACTCGAAAATTCAAGGACAGCAAAGAACGGATCTGCATTGCCCAGAATGTCCTTCGCAACTCTCCTGATATATCGAAGGAAACCCGTGAAAGTTTTATCAGAGTCATTCTACGCGAGGACATGTCACACGTTAAGGAAACCTTCAAATCGATCAGCAAAGGGAACATTCCGCATGAGAAGCCTAAGGGAATATTGCCTATAATCTGGGGTAAATTCAGTTCCTTCCTTGCCCTAGATCTGAGTATCTTCGGTAAAACGTTAAAAGAGACAAACGTTGATTCTATCAGCGACGCTCAGTTCCTCATGGAGTTGGATGGTGTCGACATGCCTCCTATCTTAGGGGATATCGTGGAAGAAACTAGGGCAGCCGCTCTGGATCACTTTAGATCAAACTTGACAAAGCAGACCCGAGCTTTAGTGCATTTTGCGCTGAGCACACAAACCGAACAATGCCGACTTCAGGTTCAGAGAGAAGCAGCTAGTCACGAAGAAGAGCAACTTGCTGAGTTGCGGAGGGCGTTTATCCATGAAATCAATAATCTTTCGCAAACGGAGCATCATGCGTTAGTGGTTTCCGCATTTATTTTGCCCCGCCCTCATCTCAAGTTCATAGGTATACTTTCGTCATCGATTCCGTGGAGGAGACACGCAAATATTATCAATGTAAGTCCAGCTATTCTCGTGTATCTACTCTGACGAAATCATCGATAACAGCACAGATATTCATTTCTGGCCGAAGGGAATATTTCCAGGACCCTGTCTGCGAATTCTCTGTCCATCTCATGCATCTGATGGAACATGATCAACATTCCTTAAAAATGGACCCTACCGTGATACCCTCACCGAAGTTCACTGGCAGGCATGTCTACTCGTTCAAGCTGCCTCTCGGGGATTCAGTGGCGTCAGTGCTTTTGACATTGTGGTGCATCAATGAATTAACAACTTTGATTCAGGAGAGCGCAACTTCTTTCAGGCGATAAGATCTTGCTCGCAACGACTGATCGGTATGGGAACCTGATGGTGTTCCTGGAAAGTCTCAATGCGATCGATGGCGCCTTGAATCATCAGAGCCGCGGGAAAAAGCTGAATCGCGACAAAATCGGCGAATTTATTCTCGCGTTTGACGAGTCGAAACGATTGCTCAGCGTCGTCGCTAGAGAGAAGGTTTGTTTCACATGTAATCTTCTGGACGGGTCTAACGAACATGATATCAGCTTTTGTTGCACATCTTTGTTCACGACAGTACCCGTGGTTTCCAGGCTTCTGGCAGCGCGATCAACTTGACTCAGTGGTATGGCGAAGGAGTCTCTATCGTTCATGCGTGCTTTATCTGTGGTAGCGACGAGCTACTACTTGTCGATTCATTGGCACAGGCCAGAATATACTCCCTGACAACGATGCAGTTTAGGTAGGAACTCGACTTACAGTAAACGATGACTGCTAATATGCGTATGACAGACCTGCAACACTTGATCTCATTCAGATCCCTAAGGCAGTTTACTCCACTCCAGATGGTTCTTGTTTGATCGTCGCTCGCGTGTGTGGCTCTGAATTGACCTTGACCGCCTATCACTGGAGTACCTTCGGCTCGACGGATGGCGTCCCGCTCGAAATTCCGGATCTTCCCCTGGATCAACCACTGCTTTTGACTTCTTTCATAAAAAGGAGTATCGTTCATCTGGTTACGCTTGACATCGACTCGAATTCTTGTCGATCATTCGCTCTCGACATCACTCGCAAAGTGACGGAGTTTACCTTTAAAGAGAAAGGCGTCCGAGGAGGAGGTTCTCAGTCACAGAACACTACTGCACACAACTGTCTCATTGATTGTCACGCCGACGTGTGGACTCGTTTCCCGGTTCTCCCTGCCGTTCAGCGGGAGACGATCACATCGTCCAGTAACAGATGCCCGCGAACATTAGTGTTCATTACAGATCGGGACCATCATATGTTCTCACCGCACTTCCAGGACCTTATCTACAACTTTGAAAGGACGTCAAAGAAGCCAACTGGAACCATCCTCAAATCAATGACTATCTCTGCGACAACATATTCCGGTTTTTGCAACAGTCTCCTTGGAGATGCAGAATGGAGCGTATCGAAGTTCAGAGCCGGGGAATGGCTGGTGGATATTCTCTGCCTCATTCCAATCCACATTGCAGTGACGAGGGAGAATCGATTCATTCCACTCAAGGATGGTATATATTCGACTGAGCTGGAGAAGTCTCTCCTCGGCGCGGATGTTAACCGCATCGTCGATCACCTGTCTTTTGGTTGGTATGAATCTTTGTTCCAGTCATACATGGCAAAAAAGGTATGACCACACGAACGCCTCGAGTTGAGTGATACTGATTTCATCCGGCGCCAACCTAAAGCCGGTCAAAGTTGTGTCGTCTATGGGCGAACAGTCGGTGGGGAAGAGTTTTTCCTTGAACCATCTTGTGGATACGTCATTCGCAGGATCGGCCATGCGTACGACAGAAGGGGTTTGGATGTCAGTGACCCCGACTAAAGATGCTCTTATCGTCGCTTTGGATTTTGAAGGTATGTTGGACCAACCATTGGTGGACGTTTCATATCGATATCTTCCTTTAACAGGTGTACATAGTATTGAGCGTTCTGCTCAGGAAGATACATTGCTCGTGCTGTTCAACACGGCGATCTCTAACTTGGTTTGCTGCCTTCTGTGCATTTCTGATAGTTGCTGAATGTCGTTGATATAGGTACTATTCCGGAACAACTTCGCCTTGAGCCGAGATATTACAGGCTTATTCCAGTCATTCCAATCGAGCTCGACCGTCCTCGATCCAGCATCTAACCCGAGTCTATTTCAATCGACGTTGGTGATCATCATTAAGGTACTTGTCCACTTCTTGAAATTTGTTTGTCATGTGTTTTAACCCATCGACTTTAAGGATGTTGTAGATTCGGACAAAGCAGAAATTACTCGAGAGTATGCTCCAGATGGTGTCTACATGAACGCATAATGAAATCGTCACTCAGGTTCGCACTCAAGTTCCAGCAGATAGTTCAGGACGAACAAGAGGCCAACTTCATTTCTCGCCTTCACGCTGGGCAGCTAAATATCATCCCTTGGTATGTGAAATGTCTCTCATGACCTCCTATGATTTGACTGTCCCTGTAGGCCGGTAATCGAGTCGCAGGAATTTTACAAGCTATTCCCAACTCTCAAACGTCGACTGGACAAACAAAAATTGACGCATAAGACAGCAGGAGAGTTCCTTCATGTGATGAAAACCTTGATGGCGAAGCTGAAGGTATGATTGACCTGTCCATTTCGAGAGCCTCATTACAACTTGTGCAGGCAAATGATTGGGGCGCTCTGTCACGTACGTACTCTTAAAGAATCCATAGTTCAGTTGACCCAACAATACACTACAGAATCGATGGCCTCGCATCGAGCACAACTTCTATTAGCTATGTTGCCGAATGCTCTCGCATTTGGAATGCAAGAGGTCAATCCTGATCCGGAACCTCTGAAGGTGTGAAATGCTTCTGCTACCTTTTATTGCCATCGCGTTTAACCTGGCATTGAAGAACCTGGATGACGATGTTCCGATCGGAATGCCCGATACTTCGGCTGAATTTTCATTGGCAGGGGGGCCGCAATCTTCTTCTCGCGAGACCGCTCTCCAAGTTCTGTCTCGTGCATGGGATGACTATGGTTCTCGCCATCACATGCCGGAGGATCTTTGGATTGAGAATTTGATTGCTCATATCGATAGTCTGGTCAACTTGCGTGTCGCCCACGTTCGCGAGTGGATATCATCCAACGTCGCTCGCTTCCAGAACGGGCAAGCAAGCATCGACGAGTTGATGAGAACGTTTGAGAGCGCGACAGTAGACTTGAAGAGCAACTTGCAGTTGTGCAAGCTCAAGTGTGGAAGTTGCGAGCTGCTCTGCATCCAGAGCAGATTGCATGACGGACCGCATGACTGCCAGACTTCTCATGAATGCATACATTCTTGCGATTTCTGTGCGTCGTCGGGAGAGACGAAGGCTTGCTCCATGTCGTAAGTTACTGATCTTTTCACCGTGTCAGTAAACTGAGTCTTTTCAGAGCGGGGCATCCAGGCAACCACATGTTAAGCCTTTCATGATCATATCCGTGCATGCACTCATTACTCCTTCTAGATGTGTTGTCAATGCGCATCTCTGTGGTCAAGCCTGCAAATTTTCTGGTAGACAGGGATGTCTGGACGAGTGTACGAAGGTGAGATGGATCCTTCACCGTGTGTAAAAAGTCATTGAACTTGGTTTAGGTGATCGGTCACGCAGAAGGCGACCATCTATGTGCTGCTACTGTGCATGCCTGCGGTCAGGTATGTTTGACCCTCGAACAGCCTTTTGTGTGTACTTAGAATGCCTCTAGCCCTGTGATCTGTCAAAGCTCAGGTTGAGTGATGGATCTACTCCCCCTTGCCGTGGTACTTGTGGCATTGCAAGGTAAGTTCAAATGGACACTTCGCACCACCTTCTGACATCTCATTCACCGCAGTGACGTGGACCATGACCAACACCTGTGCGATGCTCGACTTTGCTCTTTCCCTTGCCAACTTTGCAAGAGACTCTGTGCGAATACAGACCATCTTCACGGCTTGGAAGACGGTGCCATTCATCTCTGCGGGTTTGTCGACAATTATCCGATGTATCGTTGTCTCTTAATAATTAAACTTCAAATAGGGAGGAACATTCGTGTTCTATGCAATGCACTGCTGAGGGCATCTGCGAAATTGAGACTGCGCCACAATCGATCGAGGCGACGTTCACCGGAAGGCACGAGACGTTCCAGTACACGAAGGTGACGTCCTGTTTTTGTCTTGGACACTATTTTCTAACTTGACATACAAATTTGGTTTGCAGTACTCGCAAGGTGTGTGTCGGGTTGGTTTGTACCTCTGACACTGACACTGACTCGCCCTTAACAGTGGCTAAACGATTGAGATGCGCCAAGATGATACCACCAGGCATGGTAGCCCATGAAGGTCGTCACAAACATAGTTTGGACCAAAGAGTGGTGCATTTTTGTCGAGCAAGGTCGGAAACGTCCTTCAGTTTTTGCAGCCATTTCTCATTTTTTCTCGTCTTTTTTAGGTGTGATCACTGTGGCTACTATTGTACGTTGCCGCTCGGTAGGTATATTCTGTGCACCTAAGCAGTCGCATTTCACGAACCACTACATCAGGTCACCCGCAGCAGGAGCATGAAACAAGACACGGATCCATGTCCTCGTCACGATGGGCAGTCGATGGCCCAGATGATACGGGTCTCGAGGTCGAAGGCCGTCGCTTCTCTTCAAATGATGAGGGTGCACCGATGATGTGCAACCTTGTCTGTCAGGCAGTGGGCAGACATATTCACATTGACTACTGTCGCGCCGAGGACGCCGCGGCTTGCAGAGGGAATAACGAGATTCAGCATATCTCTAAGCGGGTGTTGCCTAACCCGGAACGTGCCAAGGACTATATAACGCACAATCTCTTTTGGCGGCGGGCCGGTGAGTAGTTTGATGAATTGTCATCCTGGTCTCACATGGTCTACAGGCTTCAAAGACCCATACTCTCGGGAGGAGCAAGCAAACTTTGTCAAGTGGTACGTTTCAAATGTTCGACGTGTAATAAACTGAACTCATATTCCTGTTAGTGACTCGATGTGTAGCGGTATGGTTCATCATGTGCTTATCCCATCGGCGATTTACCGTTCTGCCAGGCCCCGAGCACACTGCTGCAGCTGGAAATGCTGCTCAGCCATCCTATTGCACTTTGCCTTTGTTTCACCCGCCGATGGATCCTAACAATGCTCAAGTCGGTTTAGGATATGTCTCCAATGACGGTCATCTCTTCTCATGCAGGAACCCCGTGATTATGCAGCAAGCATTCCATGTGTGAGTGGTCAGCTGAGGTCTAGTTACAGTGACGTTAATCAATACACATTTCCAGAATCTTTGTGGCTGATAGGTGCGAGACAATGTTCGCTTAGCTACTATTGCTGATTATCAGTAGATCTGGCTCCATGGCCTCCGGTGACAGGCATCCTCTTCCGAACACGCCTGCCTCGGACAGAATTGTGCGACGCTCTAACAACCGGTTTGGTGCTGTGCTGTCCTCCCTATATAGCTTTTGGTCTGCACGTGCTGCAGCAATTGGTGGCCAACAAGCAGCCCGACGCGACTCATACAGTGTTATTCTGTTTGACCATTCCCTTACGAATGCCCTCATAAACGATTTCACCAGTTCTCCAGACCAATTACTAGATACAGTTTTGCGCTATGAGGCCGATGGAGGCACGAACTTCACTGCAGCGATTGGGCGTGCTCAATCGGTCATGGAACAACACTGGAGCACAGAGAGGTGCGTTGATCTTCCCACAAACATCTAAGATCTTTAACACTGCTTTTAGGAGCCCTGTCATCATATTTTTGTCGGATGGCGAGTGTCATATTGCGGATCAGACTGTTCAAGATTTGTGCCGCTCCGCGGTTCGTCTTGGGTTCGTGGGCTGTTTTTTTTTTCGTTGGATTGGCAACCTGTGACACAACCTCTAGTAAATCATTGTCTTTCCACGCAGTATCATTTGGTCCAGATACAGCTTCTAACTCCTTGCGACGAATGACTCAAATCGCACTTGACATTCAGAACAATGCCCCAAGAGATCCTTTGGCCCCACCGGCAGCAACAGTCGCATCTTCATATACGCAGGCCTTAGACACGGTAAGAGTGACACTGTACGAATTCACTTGAGGCATGGTTAACGCTGTCTCTAGGTACAACTTGCCGAAACGTTCCTAGGAATTGCAGAGTCACTCAGGAAGCCGAGAGGGTCTCTCATACACTGATGAGGATACGTTGAATATTCGATCGAGAGGCGTTTGGAGGTGACAAGGTACAACAGTACCGTGTTATGTTATGTTACTGTAGCGGCGACGAGCGCCAGTGCCCGACTTCGTTGTCCGGCAAATTCCTTAATTTGATTCCTTCCTCTCAAGTTTATTTCCCAAAGTCACTCATACACCGTGTAATACTCAAGTTTCAATAACAATATCAAGACCTGTTCACTCGTCTGCTTTTCCCCTGCAATCATTTGGATCTCACTGCGATCTCTCGGCGGCGGAGAACCTGCAGCGCTTGTCCAAGTACATGAACTATACTCGCAAGCTAGACAGATTCAGGCCCATACTTTACATACACACATCCTACAATCGAGTGCTTTCACTGATCGGAGTAGAGATCAACAAGTCGCGGGCAAGAAGGAATTTTGATAATATACCAGGACGATTGTGAGCACGCAAATTATACGCCACAAGCGATGAGCGAGAAGGGAGGAATAGTAGCAGGAACGGTTATGGTGACTTGATATCGCTTTGAGCATAAGGCTTAAACAGTTTTATGAATGGCTTCACAACAGCATGAGCTCTCGAAGATGGACCTTAGACTATGACTCAACTACCGAAGAAACACCGTCAGAACATACTGCAGATGGTTCACCTTTGGGACGTGCTACGAGAAGGTGTTATCATGATCTTGAGAACCAGGGAGTCTGATTTACACGCCGCCTCCACAACCGCCTCCACAACCGCCTCCACAACCACCACCACAGGAAGAACAACCACCACCACAAGAAGAACAACCACTACCACAAGAGGAACAACCACCACCACAAGAAGAACAACCACCACCACAAGAGGAGCAACCACCACCACAACCACCACCACATTGCGTCCCACCAGCACCGGACCCGGTCTCCTGCAAGTCTGATATTAGCAAATCTCATTCCCCAAATACAACGATACCCACCTCGGCACACCGCATACATCCATTCACCACCGCTCCAGCAGCAGCAACGCATCCACAAAGGTAGTAATAAAACATCGGCACAGGATATAAAAATGGAATCCCATTATCAACACCCCCATCCTTCTCCACAGGCCTCCCGTTTCGCTCTGCTCGTAGCCTCCGCATCTCTGCCTTGCGCGCACGGCGATTCTTCGGGCGAGGGAGGCTTGCGGACATGTTCCGCAGGGCAGACACGGCGTTGTGATCGCTCGGGTGCGTGGCAGCATGTGCGTCAAATTTGAGAGGGAGTAGAGGCACGTTGTTGGTAGTTTGACAACGAGAGGAGAGGAGGCGTCGGAGCTTCTGGCCGATTGTGTCTCCTGGCAATGGACACCCACAGTGCATGTAGGGCACTTGATAACGGTCCTATAATTTAAAGGAATTTTAATGGGGATATCGAATTCCAAGTGATAATAGCTTACGTTCCAAGCACGACAGGTGAGGTCGAAGGAGCTCGTGAGTTGACCTTTATCCACTTTATCGTCGCTAAAAAATGTGCATTCATTAGATGTGTTCCGCATTGTACTCGTGATGGCACCTACTGATCAACATATCGTCCTACAAGTGAAAGACAGTCGTTTTGATATCGACTCGCCATGAGTTGATGAGTGTGCCACCCTAGATCGATGTCGAGCGTGGGCACAAAGAATGAGGCAGGTGACTCTGCCATGATGTTCAAAAAACTGCAGAGCAATGTTCTTGTGCTGTCTGTAGAAGAAAGAAGCAAGTACGCACGCGTGATACCGAGCCACGCAATGTTGCAGTGCCACTGCGTCCACCTCGTTAGCAAAATATCCTGGCTCGGTCCACCTAAGGTTGACCATCTTCTTCACAAACGAGGCTTGCCGGAGGACCTAGATTCCTGCATCAGTCCTTGAATATGATCAAACATTGAGGGTTTACTCACAGCACCGACCAAGTCAAGTGAAAACACTCTATCGTCCGTGTAGGCACCCATGATCTTATTCAGCCTGTTCCTCGATTGAGAAAAGGTATTCATTGCGACCAAATAGGACATACAATCTTGGCTTCAAATGCTTGTTCAGCACACTACGCATGCGCCCAGCGTCATACCGGACATTTATCAGAATTTGGCGAGCGCGATCACTTGCCTCGTTCTTCTGAAAAATGATATTCAAGTCAAGGACACGCTTCTTGATTGTGTCTCCGCGTGCAGTGTCACAGGCGTGAAGTGGTGTATGAAGAGTTCCACTGTGCATATGAAATCATATTAGATATCATATAAGATAGTCAGCAACGCGACACCCACGCCAAATATGTATCAGGCGCTGTTGGTTCGACAATGTTTTTCGCAAACTTGTAAAGGCCGAGAAGTTCTTTAGTAATCGGCTGAGCACATTCACATTCGATGCTAAAGTTGCTCTGAGCATATCCCTTCTCGTTGGACTGCAAGTACGCTATGGCTTGTCAGAATGGATTGACATGCCATGCAGGCAAAATGGACATACGCGAAAGAATAGTGCGATGACAGCGAGGGCACTCTATAGATTTGTGCGTGAGATCTACGGCAGATGCGAATGGATCATAGGGTAGTTTGGTACTGCGCTCCCAAGCAGAGATGCATTCATGTTGCGGTGCGTCAGTGGTTAATAGATCAGGGTTAGCCTAGCATAACGTTCAGCAAGCTCGGGACATTATTGAAAGAGTTGTGGCGTACGAGAAGGTTAGGAAAGTAATCAGTGAAATGAGCGAGGGGTTTGAGCTTGGAGATCCGCGTGGTGTCTTCAGCATACCAACTGCGGATGTGACCGAAAAACGTAAGGTTCGTCATTCTTCAGGAATTAAAGACGTGCTTGCCTCGGATTAAGGAGATATGTGTGCCACACCATAGTGACATCAATAGGAGGCAAACGTTGCTCCACTATATCAGTTTGCTTGATTGTCAAACACCACCTCTCAAACCTGCGCTCCACCAGTCCAGTGAGTTAACAGTGCAAGCGCACGCAGAACGCTAATATGGCACGCACCGTTCGACAGCCAAATTGACGAACCATACCCACCGTTCCTCGCTGTCCGACTCTAATCCCTCGATCAGGCTGTCACTGGCAACGACCCGTTGCTTAAGGTGGCTGAACGCTGCCAAAAGCTGAAGATGAGCCTTAAGCTGATCTGGGCGGATGAGGTGCTGTGTGCTGCATCGTCCAATATTAAAGGTCTCTGGAAGAGTATACTGCGGTGATTCAGGCTCTGGCTGAAGAAGTGTAGTATATGGGGGGAGCTGCTCAGTCATGTTGAAGATTGCTGTGTACGTAGTCCCTGGTAGTGTATGATATATATTTCAAGATGAGGTGACTTTGTAACAAATGTGAGAATGCGAGTGATTGCTTCGTATGTGCTAACGCGTGCTGGTATACTCATTTCAGCCATGAGAATTGGACTTTGGGTTTGGGAAGTTGAAGCGTGGGGTTGGGGAGCCTCAGCCAGGCCTCAGGCCTGAGGCGTTTGTGCGTTTAGACTTGGGGTATCAGGGCGTGGGGTTGGGGTGTGGGCTCAAGGCGTCGTGTGTTTAAACTTTGATTGATTATTTGAAAGGGGTTCTGCTTCTGTTGACAAGTGAAGGACAAGTTGGCCTAAGGGTTCAAGTTACTAGCAGTCACATGAGTTACGTTTTACCCAGGAGGCTCGTTAATAATACTAAACACTGGCCTTTAGCTCTCGCCATATATGTTCTGATGATTCTGTGAATTGACTCAGGCTCACCTCCTGCTGATCTTTAGGCGCCTCTACTGCCTTCTATTGCAATCGCGTTTAACCTGGCAGGACCCTATGGCAAACCGAGTGACAACGACACGAATCAAGCACTTATGGCATTCTAAGGTAAGTTATCAAATGAACGCTTTACACCACCTCCTGATACCTCATTTATCGCAGTAATGTGAAGTTTGAACCACGACCAACATCTGTGCGATGCTTGACTTTGCTCTTTCCCCTGCCAAATTCGCAAGAGACTCTGTGAACATAGACCATCTTCACGGCTTGGAAGATTACGCTTTTCATCTTTGCGGGTTCGTCGACAATGACCCAATGTATCTTTGTATCTTGATTAATAACCTTCAAATAGGGAGGAACATTCGTGTTCCATGCAATGCACTGCCGAAGGCATCCGTCAGATTGAGATTGCGCCACAATTGATCGAGGCAGCATTCACAGGAAGGCATGAAACGTTTCAGTACACGAAGGTGGCGTGCTATTTCTGTCTGGACACCATTTTCTGACTTGACGTACGAACTTGGTTCGCAGTACTCGCAAGGCGTGTATTGGGTTTGTTACTTCTGACACTGTCGCTGACTCGCCCTCAACAGTGGTTAAACGACTGAAATGTGTCAAGTCGATACAGCCAGGCATGGTAGCTCATGATTGCCGCTTAGTAGGTACATTCAGTACACCTTAGCAGTCATGTTTCATGAGCCATTACATCAGGTCACCTGCAGCAGGAACATGGAACGAGACTTTTCATGCAACGGCGAGCGTCAAGCTTACTTGACATGTTTTTAGGTTGAACTTGCTGAAACATTCCTTGCAATCGCTGAATCGCTCACGGAACCCAGAGGGTTGCCCATTAATTCACAAAATAGACACGACAGAATTACGAGAAGGAATATACCAATGCCGTTTTGTTCTTGTGTCTGAGACAATAACTGAGTCATTATGCCATTCATATATTGCCTTGAGAGTCCTTCGCAAAAATTACAGGTCTGTCAATTCAGGAATCCCAAGCACCGAGGTGTTCTTTGTGTGACGAAGTTCCTCCAGAATGTCTGCCTTGTCTGAACAAAGAATTTAGGCTACAACAATGTCGTTGATCGACCTCCTTCGTATGTATCCCTCACGCTCAACTTCAGGATATCGATGTGTATATATACCACACAAGTACATGCATCTTCATTCTGTTCTCGATCATGACATCAAACTCGTGGGGATTGATAACGGTACTGCTGGCTGGCGCAAAGTCACATTGTCATGATGCTATAAGACTAATCAAGATATATCACGGCATCTGATACTGAGGAACATCTTCAGTCTTCAGAGTACCACAGATGAGCTTAGATTTAAGATACATTCAAGATTCAAGAAAATAATTCCGTTCTGATTTACCTGCCCCCACATCCGCCCCCACATCCGCCTCCACAGCCACCTCCACATCCTGCCCCAGCAGCATGCACGCCACCTCCACCACACCCCCCACCACACCCTCCACCACACCCTCCACCACATCCAGCCCCACTGGCAGCAACACCAGACCTACTACACGTTGAAGCACCAATAGAATAGCCTTCTTCTCCCTGTAAGCCTGATATCAGCACACCTCATTCTCCAAACACAATAAGAACACTCACCCCTGCGCGCCCCTTCAACACCGCCCCAGCAGCAGTAACGCACCCACCAGGGTGGTAACAAAACATCGGCACAGGATATAAAAATGGAATCCCACCATCAACATTCCCATCCTTCTTCACAGCCCTCTCATTCTGCTCTGCCCGCAGCCTGTATATCTCTGCCTTACGTGTACGTTTCTCCCGGCGAGACAGGTTTGCAGACATGTTACGCAGGGCAAACACGGTATTGTGATCGCTCGGGTGCGTGGCAGCACGTGCGTCAGATTTGGGAGGAAGTAGACGCACGTTGCTGGTGGATTGAGAGGAGAGGAGATGTCGGAGCTTTTGGCCGATTGTGTCTCCTGGCAGTGGACACCCGCAGTGATTGTAAGATACGTGATAACGTTCCTACGATTTAGATGAGTTTTGACGGGGATATCGGATTCCGAGGGACAATAACTTACGTTCCAAGCACGACAGGTGAGGTCGAAGGAGATCGCAAGTTCACCTTCTTCCACTTTATCATCGCTGAAAAATGCACATTCATTAAGTATGTTCTGCCTTGTAGTCGTGATAATACCTACTGATCAATATATCGTCCTACGAGCGAGAGACAGTCGTTTTGATACCGACTTGCCATGAGTTGATGAGTGTGCCACCCGAGATCGATGTCGAGTGTGGGCACAAAGAATGAGGCAGGCGACTCTGCCATGATGTTTAAAAAGCTACAAAATAATGTTTTTGTGTTGTACATAGAAAAAGGAAGAAAGTACGCACGCGTGATACCGAGCCACGCAATGTTGCAATGCCATTGCGTCCACCTCATTAGCGAAATATCCTGGCTCGGTCCAACCAAAGTTGACCATCTTCTTTACAAAAGAGGCTTGACGAAGGACCTAGATTCCTTCATTGGTCCTTGAATATGATCAAACGTTGAGGGTTTACTCACAGCACCGACCAAGTCGAGTGAAAACACCCTGTCGTCCATGTAGGCACCCATAATCTTATTCAGCCTGTCCCCTGAATGAGAAAACGTATTCATTGCAACGAAGATAAGACATACAATCTTGGTTTCAAATGCTCGTTCAGCATGGTACGGATGCGCGCAGCGTCATACTGGACGTTTATCAAAATCTGGCGAGCGTGATCACTTTCCTCGTTCTTCTGGACAACAATATTCGAGCTAAGGATGCGCTTCTTGATTGTGTCTCCGCGCGCAGTGTCACAGATGTTGCATGGCGTGTGAAGAGTTCCACTGTGTATATGAATGTGTTATAGATTGTTGTGCAAGATGTTAAGCGACGCAACACTCACGCCAAATATGTATCAGGCGCTGTTGGTTCGACTATGTTTTTCGCAAACTTGTAAAGACCGAGAAGTTCTTTAGTGATCGTCTGGGCACATTCACACTCGATGCTAAAGTTGCTCTGAGCGTATCCCTTCCCGTCAGGCTGCAAGAACGCTACGGTTGGCTGTCAGAATGGACTCTCATACCATGCAGGCACAAGGGACATACGCGAAAGAATAGTGCGATCACAGTAAGGGCACTGGATAGATTTGTGCGTGAGATCCGCAGCAGATGCGAATGGGTCATAGGGTAATTTGGTACTGCGCTCCCAAGCAGAGACGCGCTCATGTTGCGGTGCGTCAGTAGTTAATAGACCAGGGTTGGCCTGGCATAACGTTCAGCGAGCTCGGATATCATTGAAAAAGTTGTGGCTTACGAGAAGGTTAGGAAAGTAATCAGTGAAATGAGCGAGGGGTTTGAGCTTGGAGATCCGCGTGGTGTCTTCAGCATACCAGCTGCGGATGTCAGACCGAAAAACGTTAAGGTTCGTCATTCATCCAGGAATTAAAGACATGCTTGCCTCGGATTCAGGAGGTAGGCATGCCACACCATAGTGACATCGATAGGAGGCAAACGTTGTTCCACTACATCAGTTTGCTTGATTGTCAAACACCACCTCTCAAACCTGCGCTCCACCAGTGCAGTGAGTTAGCAGAGCAAGCGCACGCAGAACGCTAATATGGCACGCACCGTTCGACAGCCAAATTGACGAACCATACCCAACGTTTCTCGCTGTCCGACTCTAATCCCGCGATAAGGCTCTCGCTGGCAACGACTCGCTGCTTGAGGTGGCTGAACGCTCCCAGAAGCTGAAGATGTGCCTTGAGCTGATCTGGATGGACGAGATGTTCCGTGCTGTATCGTCCAATGTTGAAGGTATCCGGAAGAGTATACTGCGGTGGTTCGGACTCTGGCTGTGGAAGCGTAGTATATGGGGGGAGTTGCTCAGTCATACTGGAGTCTACTCAGGCCGTGCGGTTCCTGGTCGATATATATATATATACTTGTCCGAAGAAGGGCACCAATCAGTACTGTCTCGACTAGAATTGGCGTATCATGATACAGGCTGAACGTGTGAGAAATTGATTCGAGCATCGCAACAACTTTGATAATGATCTGTTGGCCGCTTCAGACAGGGAATATTAGGTCTGCACAAGAGACTAGAACAACTTCACCAAACGAGCTATGTTCAATACTGCCAGGGATCGATGTGAACGTGCATCCAAACGTCGGACTGGAGTAGAATGATCAACACTCGAATCAATATTGTGCTAGTAATGTATGAATATGAAATGCTAATAGTATGTAGATTTAGATGACTAGAGCTTCCTACCATGTACTCGATAGCCTATCCTTCATACGAGTATGTTGATGACGATCAAGTTCCCAGTTTCTCGTCGTCCGCGTCAATCCTTTGGAGAAGTTGTACTGCATCTTCCTTGCGCAGCTGGCAACGCTTTGTGAGCATCTGCAACATCTTCTGACGACTCCTCCCCAACCCCTTGGCCGGAACCAAGAACTCCCGCAGCTTCTTGCACATCCGCGCAAACCAACTACCCACGTCCACCGAGCATGCATCATGACTTCCAAGTTCCCTGAGCATATTGAGCACCTTCGCTCTGGATTCAAAGTATCTGGCTTCGTATGCGTTTTTGTAGCCCTTGATGGTTGTGATGCAGACATGCGTAACGGGAACAATGCCGGATTTTTCGATATGTGCTTTGTTCGCCGTCCACCAGTCATCCATGTTCGCCTCGTTCTCAAGGTTGGTAATGACCAGGGCAAGGGGCACCTGTTCATGGCACAGGAACTCAAAGAACAACCTATAGTTCTGCTGTATAGTGTTCGACACTCGGCCAGCCTTGATGCAGAAAAGCAAGCCATGTACACCTCCTCGGTTCTTGAGCGAGACGATAAGCTCATGAGCCTTCACTAGGGCATCTAAATACCCCGCGTTGTTCATAGAGGGGCTATCCAAGCCCACCTATTTGATTTTTGAATTAGGATACCGACACGCTGAGAATCTACGCACCGTATCAAATAGATTTACATTAAGCCGGGAATCCGAAAATGTGATTGGATACTCCGTTGATTCGAGTGTGCAAGATTGTGCACCAGACGAGGAGTCGGCAACTTGGTTCCCAGCAATGAGGTTTACCAACGAGCTCTTGCCAACGCCCATCTCGCCAAATATAATGAAGTTTGGTGGTCGCGGATAAGAGGACATTACGGAACTGTCAGAGGAGTTGGCAGCACTGCTGGCAGCGCGCATAGTGGCTTAAAAATATGGTGAGAGCAAAGGAAGCATTGAGTGAGAGCTCTAGGGTATATACAAGATGCTGAGCGCTCGTAATGACGCACCTCTTTCGCCACGGAGTTACTTTGCCATACATGCCACTATCTGACGCCCTACTAGATCAGACCGTGAGATGTATCACCGAGGTGCATGAAGGCTGCGCGGGTTAGAAGAGAATCATCGGAATTTCCCGTTGAAGAAGATTCCCCATGGCGCCTCGTCCGACGTCCATACATGCAGTGTTCATGAGGTTTTCATTTCTAACATCTGAATCCGATAGTACAAAGTTAGCATCGTGTCACGGTCGTGCATTTCATGAAAAACCACCTGAGTCCTGCTAGTGGTATTAATTGATCGTCTCAAATATATATAGCACAAAACGTCAAAGAACACACTATAAACCTGCGCACCCTTCCCGTACTGCGATATCGATATCTTTGGCGGTTCCGAAGGCCATGATAGGGTGACCCATTGAAGACTAGCACGATGTTGAACATGCACGTGACTGACACAAACAGAACTTCAACTTCAAGCTAACTTAGCTAAGCTTCAAGCGCTAGACGCCTCAACTTGAAGACAGCCTGCATATTCTCACCTGCCCTCAGGCTCCTGCCAGCCGAATGTGTAGCACTCCATATCTCTCGCCAAGCTCTTGTCCTTATATCCCCGCTATAAGCGCGGACGGTCAGCAACCTGTCGTTCATAGTCACGCGCAGTTCTCATTCAACTCAAGGCAGCCGACGCGATTCCCAAGTAATTTCTCGAACACGGTGCAACTTACTACTGCCATGCGGCGTAGCCTTGCAGCACCATGCTGTTTAAATGAGCATTTAATGTGAGGTTTCCGAGGGTCTACTCAGTGTCGTCGAACTTACATAGTGGACCCTGGCCTCGTCACAGTGGCTGGACAAGCAGTCATTGGCTGTCGCGTTTTTAAAAATAAACAGCTTTCTTCCCTCCAACGCCACTGATTTAGGGGGGCTACGAGCGCCAAGGCTCCCTGATGGCACTTGTAATATCGCAGCAGCAGCGCTATGAATTGGCGCTCCCTTCCAGATCATGCAGTGCTGTTCTCCAGAAAGGTATGTCATGTTACGATCCGCAGAATTAAAGCTAAGATAAAAGCTGAGAAATCGCAACATGCTGCGAACGAAAAAAGGAGGTGCATGTTTCACACAGCTTCAAGGGACCAACAAACGAGGCAGCTCTCAGGAAGGACCTGCGTGGACACGTGCCAGGCAGCCGGCATGACATATAGTCCAAAATTTTTGACTTTCATTGAAGCGTTTGTGAGCAGAGCCGATTGATAGCGAGACGAGGTGTACGTATGACAGCATGCTAGATAATTGGATGTACTAGGTATCGGATAGCCTATGGGTATGGTGTTCAATAGAATACAAATGCTGCAGTCAAGCCACTAGTTCTCGTCCCATTCAATCCTTCGAAGAAGCTGCACCGCATCTTGCCTAGGCAGCTTGCAACGCGTCGTGAGCGTCTTCATCATCTTTTCACGACTCTTCCCTAACGCCTTGCCTGGGATGAAAAACTGCTGCAACCGCTTGCACATGCGCGCGAACCAGTTAATATCCACCGCGCACGCATCCCCCTTGGCAAGCGTGGCCAACATATCCCATACTTTTTTCCTAGATTCCCAGTATTTGTCTTCGAACGTGTTTCTGAGGCCCTTGATGGTGGTTATGCAGACCTGCGTGACGGGGGCTATTCCATACTGCTTAATCTCCTGTTGGTTATTCGTCCACCAGTCATCCATGTTCTCTTCATTCTCGAGGTTGGTAATGACTAGTGCAAGGGGCACCTTTTCCTGGCACAGGAATTCGTGGAACAGCCTGTAGTTCTGCTGCGTAGACTCTAGTATTCTGTTACCGCCCTTGATGCAGAAGAGCAACCCGTGTACACCTCCTTGGTCTTGGAGGGAGGCGATGAGTTTATGCGCCTTCACTAGCGCATCTAGATAACTCTTGTCATTCATTGTGACGTTATTCAGCCCCACCTGTGTGCCGCAGGTCTCGATTTAGAATATTCGTACGTTGGAACAATTCACGAACTTACTGTATCAAATAATCTGACATTAAGCTGGAGTTCAGATGATGTGATCGTGTACTCGGTTGATTCGAGAGTGCAGGATTTTAAACCGGAAGAAGATTTGGCCACTGTCTGCCCAGCAACGAGATTGATCAACGAGCTCTTCCCTACGCCCATTTCACCGAAGACGATGAAGTTTAGTGGAACTGTGCTGGGTGCGCACGCCATGAATGTAAAAGAGTACCGTAGTCGCAGAATTTCAGAAAGGGGAGTTGGATTTAGAACGACGCAGGTCTAGGGGATATATCAAGGCGCTCTTGTCAGAAGAATTAACTTATTTAGTGAATTACCCTGTCGCTGGGAACCGGCCATTTGAAGCGCTAGATCAATGGTACGTGATGATTCATGAAACAACATGCCTGCGATATGTTCGCGCGTGAGTTGCGCGCTAGGCTCTAGCTCATTCGAAGATAATAATATCTCATCGGGTTCACCCGGTGAGGAATACCACCAGATATCGAAGATGGTCGGCTGATTTACTCATGGGTACCATTTGCTTTTACAAATGAAAGCCTCATTGTCCAGAAGTCTTGGTATCAAGATTACTCACAGTGAGGCTTTCATTTTAAACAATTAGCATTTACTTGGCGACAAGTTAGCGCATACGGCGACGATTTCATGCACAGTTGAACATACTTTGTCAGGGTTTGACTCAGCGAGTACGGCAGCCTGCCTATACGACCGACAGATGTGTGGGCTGTGGGGTATCTATGACTCATATGATCAGCTCAAGAACGCTGAACATGACGGTTGGAAAGGGAAAGGGACAGTGACTGTGAGCGCCAGGACACGCGTGAAACTGGGGCTTTGACTAGAAACTTCCGTATTCAGCATCGTCTTTGAAATTGTGAATCGCCAAGGTGTTGTAGCAATCCTAGTAAGTACAGATTGCTACAAATGAGGCATGAGGTATAACCAAGATGCTATCTTGGATGCATGACTGTCATTAAGAGTATTCGTGCAACGAAGTATATCGTTGGTAAAATGAAAACAAAGAACGATCCTACCGCCGTTTCGCCGATAACGATAGAGACGGGCAGTAAGCACGGGACAATAAACAACGGTAAGCCAATGATAATGAGCGTACTCACCCTCGAGTTTCTCGTCCTTGAGATAGAGATACATGCGACGAGGACGCTGCACATTAAGAGGTTTCTTCTACCAGAAACAACAGGTGAAGAGAGTCAGCACGGCGAATGCCAGCGTGCCAATTTCAAGTTGCGTGATTGCCAAGTGTTTGATGTAGCGATTTATGCGTCGAATGAGAAACCAAGTGATTCGTAGGGCAAGGATTACCTGGAAGGCTTTGTCCCCTTTACTCTCGTCGTCAATCTCATCTTTGGCTTAGTTTTGATAGGCTCTTCCAGAAAGTATGAAGTTGAGAACTTCGTAAGGGTTGACCGTTGTGATAGAACATAAACCCACCTATTCTGGCAAAGAACCCACGCCCGCAGTAGAGAATCAATCGTCTCACCCTCGAATAATTCATCATTAAAGTTATTTACAACTCGCTTGCCCGCGTTGAAGAACTGCCGCATGGCCCATAAGATGACTAGTTCTGGAGCAACCAAAGCGACGAGCATGACTCTGGCATGTTTGCAGTGACACGAAATGTTCAGATGGAACGAAGTCCGTGTGCAGGCGAAAAGGGTGAGGATGCAACTTGGGATAATGCTAGTATACAACGTGCAATACTCACATTAATGTTATCCAGTATGCTAACTTATTGGCGTTGGCAGGAATGAATAGAGGATGATATTAACAGGAACATCGAGTTTTGGAATCTGGATGGACACACCAACAAACAGAGTACCTCTGCACGCGCGATACTCTTACTACGAGCCGCTGTTGGCGTGCCTCCGAGACTCGGGCATAGTGAAACCTCGAGAAATTCACCGGACGACTTGCCTACGGTGACACAACGGGGACCTTTCTCGAACAGGTCCAAATGTAATTCGTCTTGACTACATAGAAGAGAGAACACACTGACAAAACGCAAAAGATCAACGGACAAAGTTCACCGACAACTTACCAGAAGCTCAGATCCGAAGACCAGCCAAGACCCGTCTGACTATTAACTCCCAGAATTAAAGAAAAGGCTCCTGGCAGTGGCAAGAAGTTCATTTTGAATAGGAGCCCGGCCTCCTGCAGGATTTCCTGAGGCATCGCATGATCGATCATGTTGGTTGAATCCAACTGACGCTTGTCGCAAATTTCCGAAAATGATGGACTCACTTGATTTACATAAGCAAAAACACGAACGGTGCAAGTCAGACTCGTGCCAAACTGTTGTGTTTTTACTACTAATTGACAGCATCTCCAGACGCGATTGGGAAGGTGAACATGCCTCTGATAGTTTTCCGTGGTAGCAGGTCCATCCCGTTCTTAGGCCTGAACGAGTGTTCTGACCACAACTGCACTCGTCGTGCTCGTTCAAGTTCTCACATCCGTCTTGGCGATAAACGACTACTTAATGTGGTTAAACTGCATGCTTAAGGCGCTACTAGGCTAACGTGAACTTCTCGATCGGTACTATACAGCCCTTGCCTCGACCCATGTGCATTCCATGGAGTTTCGCTTGCGCCTCGTCTCTATGTACCGCATGCAGGCAATGAAATATACGACGGAACAACATGCGAATGGCATACCCTCGCGGAGAATATGTCGCCGCGAATACTAAAGCTGCATCCTCTCGCAGCTTGCTCTCCAAATCCCCCACAACCACTGCGATCAGCCTTAACACGCTGACATCACATAGGTTCTAGACATGCTGGGCGGACATGTTTTAGCACTGGAAGGTATCGTACCTCTCATAATTCTTCAATTTCACGTGTCTCACATCTCGCCTGCATGCAGTGATTGCTGGCCAAAATCTGATCGTTCCATCTAATCGCACGCCAGCAGGCCATTATGTCCTTGTCTCCACCTCCTATGGTCAGTGGAACACTGCCATCAAGCCCGCAATGGCCGACTGTGGTGTTTCTTGGAATGAGATCCTTACAATCTGTGGAAGCCCGCTAATGTTTCCCATGTGGCTTATGCCCATCTTTTCCAGCTCCTCCAAAGAAGTACGCCTCGAAATTCGCGCCTCATTTGAGTGTGGCCAGATGCTCGGTCGAGGCGAGCTTGTCGGTACAGTTGAGACAACTTTAGACCAACTGCTTGCGCATGATGGGCAGTCTGGTGAGTCCTCACCTCTCATAATGTTGTTTTCCTGACGGCGGTTCCAAAGTATCACTCCCGGCTGTTGATAATCAGCACGTATCCCTTAAATTGAAGGCACGTCGCAAAAAAATACCGCACCAAGATGCAGACGGTATTATGCAGGTAGATAATCAATTCAACAACTTACGATCACTGCTAATATAGTCAAATTTTAAGCATAAGATCGCTCTCGATACTGATGCAGCACGCGATGCATACACGCTCTTTTGGAGGAGCAACCTTCGCGAGCATTTCCATAGCGCCATTGAGGGTTTTCAGGCAGTGCTTGACCAATGTCCCCATGATCATGCCCACCGCGCCGCAGCACTCTCCAATCTCGCCCATGCCATTCTATGTGGTTTCGCCAAGTCCATCGACAATGACATTGACCGCGCGATTCACCTTTTCCGCTCCGCACTCACACTCCGTCCCCGAGGACACGTCGATCATCCGCTATCCATCCTCGATCTTTGCCATGCTCTCTGCAAGCGTCACTCCTATCAAAAGGACCATACCGATCTCCGTGAGGCTGCTGATCTTTACCGCTCTGTTCTACCGCTTTGTATCGAGGGCAGCCATCTCCATCGAGTAGTATTTGGTACCAACGGCATACCATATGTCATCGAGCAGTGCAACGCACTTCCCAGTGATCCTTCGGACGAGAGTATATCGCTCCGGCGAATTGTGCTCGAGCTTTGTCCGCCGCGACACCCACGCCGTGCACACTCACTAGACAAGCTTGCTGGAGACCTCTATGCACGCTTTGAACGAGACGGCAATAAAGACCATTTCTATGAGGCTATCTATCTGTCACGTGAAGCACTGGCAGTATGTCGTGCTGATGAAGATCAACTTAGTGCTCTCCCCGGCATTTTATCGGACACTCTCGGGCACCGCTTTAATCACCACGGCGATCCTTCTGACCTATACGAGAGAATAGCACTTGATACTCACCTAGAGGCAGTCGACTTGCGCTCGTCTGCTTCGAGTCGACGCGGCATAACGGCCCCAGAACAGGGACAACAACCTTCGCCGCCACCACCACCTCGCCCACTTCGCCCACAGGCATCAACGAGCAAAGTATGTGGACTACTCCTTAAACCGCATAACGTTAATGCTTATTGATAAAATGTAACAGACCCGGCCACTCGAAAGAAATGTTGTCATCTTCGGCGACAGTGGCTCCGGTAAAAGTTCAGTCATCAATGCAATCGCGCAAACACAACTAGCGAAGACATCCAGCAGTGCAACCGGATGCACGTTTGCCTATGAGCGCCATAGAGTCGAAATTTCCGGCCAGACGTTTGTCCTATTCGACACTGCGGGTCTCAATGAGGGCACTGCAGGTACGGTGCCGGCGGCAAAGGCGGAAGAAAACTTGAAGAGCTTGCTGCAAGAACTCATGAGCCCTAAATCAGATGGAATCGGCCTTCTGGTATACTGCGTGCGCAGCACGAGAGCCCGTCGCGCTCTTATTCGGAACTACAACATTTTTTACTCTGCTATCTGCCGAAAAAAGGTCCCAATTGTCGTCGTCGTCACAGGATTAGAGAACGAGCTGGACATGGAGAGCTGGTGGGATGCCAACGGGAAGGAATTCAAAAGTCGTGGTATGCATTTCGAAGACCATGCATGCGTCACAACGCTGCGCAAACACTCAGGCATCTCAGATGTATTCACCCGTCGCATTGACGAATCTTCCGAAGCTCTGCGCAATCTTCTCGTCAACAATTGCTCGGATTGGGTGGTTGACGATGGCTGGTTCAAGCAGTCTTTTACTGCTGTGCGAAACTTGATCAGCGACAGCGGAAATAGCGAAAGGTCTTTGCCGTCCACTCTCATCATTTGTGATCCATCTCGAAGCGAAGACGTCGAGATCGCACACTGCATCCGTGGTACCTTGAGGCCCTACTTTGTGCGCATCGGTGGGGACACCTACCAGGTCCACCGTGTTCCTGCACCGGATTCTTCATCTTTAAATGCCGACAAGAGGCCTGAAGGGGATCTTCTCATATACTACGCTCGCGCTGACGAGCTTTCTGCAGCTCGTCAGAAGTTCTACTCATTTTGTACTGCATACCGGGGGAACGTGGTGCCGGTCGTCGTCGTGGTCAAAGGACTGGATGATCGCCAAGCGGCCAACCAGTGGGTCGAGAAACATATCACGTATGATGGAGCCGGACGTCTATTCTCAACATTTGCTCCAGCTGAAGAACTCGGGGATGATTCTTTGAAGCAACAGGCAGAACAGGAGTTACAGGATCTCATTCGACAGGCCTCTCTCATTCGTAGCGAGAGAAAAGTCAGAGGGAAACCGAAAAGACTTGCACGTCGAAACCGATTTTGAGCGGACGAGTTACTGTGGAAGATGATAATTATTCTAATTTAACTGACATTAATGAGGCGTGGAACGCCGGATACTCTAGTATTACTCTAGTACTTGTGTGGCTCGATGTCATGAATGTAGGTACACATGTTTACAGTTTTCGCTCTGGAAGCACTTCTACGAGCTAGGGGACATCGATAGGATACTTGTGTACACAGAATCTCTACGCCATTATAGTCTTCTCAACCGCAGCCTTTCCCTCCGCCCAGCCTCGTTCCCAACTCTGCTTCCGAGCTGCGACAAATGTCCCGAACATCTTATCTACAGACCCCCATTTTTTCAGCCTTGCCTGAAGCTGCTCAGGCTGTTCCTTGGGAATACAATGGCTGATGCAGGTTGCACTAGGAAATAGAAACGACAGCACTGCTGCGACCTTTACAGGTTCATTGATGGGGGATGTCCCGACATGGAAGTCTCTGATTTTTGGACTGATAGCGTCGGCAGGCGCGGTGTATACAGCGCCACTGTTGAAAGTAGCATTGAAGAAAACCCCGAGAGATAACAACTGGCGGAAGTGCTTCAAGAGAGATGTGACTCCGTCAAAGGTCACCAACGGAGCGACGAGCCAGACACCCTGGTCACCCAAGTAAAGCTCTTTTAGACCTGGACAAGACAGGGCCAGGTTGCTGAGAAAGGTATTGTTCATATGCGCTGTGCACAAATGCCCAAGGTCTAAGTGTTCGAGTCCTTTGAATGATAGGAGCGGATGCAACATGAGAGAGGTGAAGACGATCGATTCGTTGCTAGTATCGTCTTGTGATGTTCCAGCAATCAATGACAGCCATTTAAGTCTCTCAGGGTGTACCATGCATACTTTCAAGTGCACGAAGAAAAGGTGGGAGAAAATGTCATCGTAGAGCGAGCAGCGAAGGTCCAAAAACTGAACGGAGAGATAGACGTTTTTCAAGAATGCTTCCAAGGATAAAGGTGTGAGAGCCACGATCTCTATCATGGCACCTCCTGCGTGCACTAGACAAATACCGCGTTTTTTGCGAGCACGTCGACAGTAAACAACATGCACATACTGTTCTATAAGGCTGACAAGAGTGTGGAGATATAAATGGGGACGTGTGCGTTTCTTGAGATTTACACGCATGCCTTCAAGTGCGAGAAGGAAAGGTTGGAGGGAAAGTCACGATACAGCAAGTGGTAAATGTTCAGACGTTGGATAGAGAAATGAGACCAAATTCCATGTGAGATTTTATGAAGCAACGAAGAAGGCTGTTGTTTCGTATTACTGGGAGGATGAAACCAGCGTGCCACACTGTTGTCGATATTCAAAAAAGTACATGTGTGGGCTTTGAAACTGTACTGGATACCCAATATGATATCACAGCTGCTGTAGCTTAATGCTCCTGTCCTGGCTGATATCCACGACGGTGTCACGGTTGTACTGCAGATTGAGGTATATGAAAAGGACTTGGATTAGCATCGATCCGGGTTGGAACTTGGGCAGGTCGCGTAAATTACGCGATCACGTGACCGTCACGTTTGGTATGACGCGAAGTTCGAACCAAACAAACTCTGCTTTACAAGTCTTACTTGACCTTGCACATCGCCATGGACGGCAGCGAAATAGGGCTGTTCGGTACGCTGCGGCTGATGAAACGATCGACTGATGAACAGGTAGCAGCATTCCCAATCGACGAGGAGACAGTTACCTTTGGACGCGACCCGACGTGCAGTGTGCGCCTCTATTACCCAGAGATCAGTGCTCTGCATGCAAAAATTGTATTTCAGGAAAGAAAGGTGCGTGAGTTGTTTATCTGAACTTATCAAGCCGCTAGAACTCGCAAGTAGGCTTTCCTCGTCGTTCTTGGCGACGCAGGACTCACCATTGATGGCTGCCCCGTGATTCCATCTACTAACGCCTCACTTCCCACAACGATTCCCGTCTCTAACAACTGCGAAATCGAAATACACAAGAAACGTTTCATATTCTCCTACCCGCCCAAGCAGCTACGGTCTCCACTTTACAACATTGATTCACCAGTCAAGACTGAAAATGGCAGCGGCGGACGGAGGAAATTACGAATGAGCATGATCCACAGCGCTCAAGTATTTACCCCTCGTGGAAAGCCCTCTTCAGATCCACTTGCAAACCTCCGCATTCTTCAGAGCCCACTCAAGCAGCTGGTGCCATCCCCGCGCAAGCCCTCTGCCCTAAAGAACTCCCATGTCCCAGAGGCAGACGAAATAGAAGAAGAAATCGTGCTCGTGGAGTCTAATACTCCACACGTCGTACAAGAGGACAAGGATCTTGTCATTCTCGAGCGTGTCGATATCCAAGCCCTTCCTCCACCCACCCCGCCTGTGCAAAGACCAAGACCGAGTATGAACATATACAAGACTCCGAACAAGCGTACACGCCCTTCGTTACACCGTGCTGTACTGATTCGCAGCGTACATCGTGCCGTCATGGCACGTGAAGAAGAAGAGGAAGAGAAAGAAGTTGAGGAGGTGATTGTAGGTGAGACTGTTGTAGAGGAGGGCGAGAACCATCAAGATAGTGACAGTGAAGAATTCGACGACAAACGTGAAGGCGGTGCAGGGATCGAGCATGAAGAATCTGACGAAGATGGAAGTGGCGCAGACTCAGACACCGCTGAGGAGCCTACTCCTCAACCAAGTACATGGCGCAAATCTCTCAATGCTGTGCGTGCACACGTTGTATGGCCTTTCCGCTCAAGTTCCACTGTGCCTGAAGAAAGCGACAATGATGACCCGCAAGATGAGGATGAGGACGAAGAGGCGGAGGTAAGTCTCTCCTTTGATTCTCTCCCTCATAGTAACCGTGAACACCAGCATGCTCAAACGGGCACTGACCAGGATGCACAGCCCCCACCTCCATCATCTTCCCCACCTCCAATTCACATCACACCCCAAGCTCAATCACACCTGACACCTGCAAGAGCCCCACGACCTCTGGGCTCATTTATGACGCCTCAGGTGCCGCACGTACAGTCAGGCATTGGGGCTGGAATTGTCCGCGGCGCAGGACGCAACTCCTTTGGTGGAGCGTTGCGAGTACCGTTGCCTCCTGGAGTGTCTGCACCATCTGGTCCTATAGAGACATGGGGAGGTGCGAAGAGAGTACGCGTCGAGCCCAAGTGGCGTATTGGGGATATTGAGGTACGAGGTATAGAGGAGGTGAAGGAAGAGGAGAAGACAGGGACAGGATTTGGGAGGACGCGGGTGAGTGAGGAGGAGAGGAAAGTGAGTACATGCGTTTTCTTTTGCTTTCTGGAGCTTGGGAAATGGTATGGAGAGTGCAGTCTGGTTTTCATTCAAAATGGTTTCTCTATGAGCCCGGGTTGTTGTGATACAGGGTCCATATATACATACCTCCTGGCGTGTCCCTCGTCTCTCTGGACTTTGTTTTCTTTGTGCCATTTCTCTCCCCCATGACGCGCCTTCCAACTAAATACCAACATACAGGCCATCCAAGAACGCCGTAAATCAGCGCTCACTACACCCGACCCTTTCTTTGCACAGGTACCAGGGCTGCGACGGCAGTCTGTTGCCCCTTCTACACCCTCTGCCCCGAGTGACGGTAACACGCTGCGGAAACTTCCCTCCCTGCTCGATTCTGCCATCCGCACCGTCGGTGAGCGCAGTGCATCTCCCACCAAATCAGGCGAGATGAGCATATCACCGACCAAATTCGGGGAGAGAAGTATATCACCAACCAAGTTCGGGGAGAGAAGTGCATCCCCTATGAAAGCTCCTACCCATCCACGCCCCTCATCCCCTGTGAAGCTTTTCTCTTCTCCTGTGAAATCGTTGGGAGCGCCTACGAATGCGCACACGCCTTTCGGGCGTCCTCCATCGCCTTTGAAGGCACCGCTGACGCCACATAGTGAAGAAGATGAAGAGGACACGCGAAGTTTATTGGATCGGATGAAGCGAACTGTGGAAGAGATGAAACGACGTAGGAGTTTGGGTCCGTTTGGGGACAATGAACATGAGCACGAGGAGGATGACGAGGAGAACGATACAGTGGACACTGAACAGCGTAGGGATGTCGAGAAGAATGCAGAAAAAGACATTGATGAGGAACGACAAACAGGCGAGGAAGAAGAAAACAGTGATAAGGAGAACGGCCTTGTATCTTCGCACCGAGAACCTCAATCCTCTTCACAACCTGAACCTGACCTCGAGGCGACCGACCCATCCGAACACATGTCTACACCTCTCTCTCCCACACGCATCGCGCTTGACCTTGATCTTGAACTGGAGAGGACGCCACTACCCCAGCTCACGCGTCCCACCTCTCGCCCGCAGAACAAGAATGCATCATCGTTTGCAGGGCCGCAGACACCTGCCCTCGCGTCACTCAAGCATCTCTTCCCTCCGCCAGCGCCAGTGCCAAGTACACCAGCAGTGAAGAGCATGCGTTCGCTGTTCCGCGAGGCGAGTAAGGGTGTCGGGATGGAGATAGAAGAGGATGCGTTAGAAGTTGTGGGAGAGATGATGGTTACACCTGAGGGGTATCGGGCGCGTGTCGAAGACGTGGATGAACGGGTGGGTGTCATGAAAAGGGAGGGGCACAGCAAACCTCTGAGAGCTACCTCCCGCAAGGCCCCTGTCCCTGCTCCTGGGCCTGGGCCTACCACGATAGCAGCTCGTCGCCGCACAAGAACTACTACAGCCACGGGGGTTACTGCTTCCAAGGAGAGGGAGTCATCGACTTCCAGGACTGTTTCGCGTGTGGAGACAGTGGTTACGAAAAGGGTACCAATTGCACTTCCAAAACGTGCTGAGAAAGAGAAAGAAAAAGCAAAAATGCCAGAACCAGAGCCAGTAGCTGAACCAGATGCAGAAGACGAAGCGGACGAAGACGAGATTCGAGAGATTCCACCTCAACCTGCCGCACAAAAGAAACCTGCGAGAGCGCGTCTACTTCGTGCGCGCAAAGGGGTCACAACTGATAACTCGGTATGCATCCTCTTGATAGGTCTTGTGGATGACCGATCATATGTTGTTATTTAGGACGAAGAGCCTGCTGCCGCGTCAAAGACGCGAGATGCCAGTACTGAGCCTAGGGCTCGTATAGTTACTACCACAACAGCAAGAAAACCGAAAATAGACGTTGAAACGGTACTTTTCCTTCCTTCTTCCTATCGCGAACATCTCATTTCACTCCTGCAGGCCTCAAAAACCCGGGCGGCCCGCAGTCGTGCCACCCCTGTCCCAGTTGCTCGATCTGAGCCAACAAAGGCACGCCCACGAGTTTTTGCGAAGCCAAAGGCCGCAACCACGGCAACCCGTGCCCCCTCACGGAGCAAGATGCGTAGTACGGAAGGCGACGATGATGCTGATGGGGATGACCCCCTTGATTCAATCGCGCAGCCTGAAGCCCCGGCTCCCATACAGAGGGCGAGACGCACACGGGCGGTGACCGCACCTGTGAAAGAGGAGGATGTCGATACTATGGTTCCTGGCAAGGCGAAGAGCACATCAACGACCCGCAGGCGTGCGGTGACAGCGGTGGATAAGGAAAATACCCCATCGAGTTCGAAAGAGGATGAGGGTGAGCGGAAGAAGGAGGCGGAGGTGAAGCGCACGACGCGGGCGACGAGGTCACGAGCATGATGTTGTGTCGAATGGATGTTGGTTGTTTAGTTTTCTGTCCTGATTTTCTCAACCAAACGATTATGTTCACCCTACTATGTACGTTAAGTGTTCGGGTAGTATGTATGCTACTATGGTACGCGGATTCTACCGACTCAACCCTCGTCTAGACTTTGGAGTGCGTGCGAGTATGTCATGCGTCCGCCAGAAATATCTGGTAAATTCACTTTCTCCCACTCGTCCTCGTCGGTATCGCTGCAGTTATCATTCATGGGTATGACTTTGGGATTCGAATCAAGGATTTCAAAGTCCCCCAGTCGGCTCTTGGCTATGTTAAAGTTCGGTCAGCACTTTTTCTGGGTCAGGTTATGATAAATATAATGCGCTTTACCTTTGCGCTGGCGCTTGAAGGGTACCATCTGTGCGCCGTCAAAGAGGGAAAACGTGCTAAATGACACAGTGGGAAAACCCTCTGATGAGTCGTATTCCTCAGCGTCATGAACATCATCGACCAAATGACCGTCGACTGCAGCCGCACAAATGTAGCCCCTGCTTTTCCAAGTAGAGCTATCCCCGCGTCCTGGGTTTCGACGTAGGACAGTTCCATTACTGCGTTTACGGGAATGCTGTGACATGTTTAGTGAGCGCCTCCCAGTGTAAAATAAGCACAGCGTACCCTTTTCTCCCATGCTTTGGTGCTGAGAGGTGGCATGTTTGTGTGGTGTTTACTAGAAGGGAAAAAGTTTGCGCAGTGTTAGTTTGAGCAACTGAAATTTCAAGATTTTTATTCGAGAAAATGAGTCAATAGCCTGACTGACTTTGACTAATGCGGAGCATATCTGATTTGCGCTCACGTCAAGGAGCCGAACCTGAGCGAGATTTGAGTCACTGACTCACGGAAGCAATGACTACCGTGGCTGTCGACTCATCGTCGGTCATTATTGAAGGTGGATCTACACAGCATTACAGTAGCTTTGGGAGCGGTGTGAAATAGACAGGGAAAACCGGCAATCTAATTAACACCCTCCGATTTTTCGCTGATAGGGTTGAGTGATTTGTCACAACCAGTGGAAACCTCGATAACACGAGTATCCCGCCTGCAAGTGGTCTCACGGCTATTGAGTCTGTATCCGCGTTAACAGCTCTAGTCATGGTTGATCCCCCTGAAGTGACTCACGCGGCCAGAAGCGAATTTGTATAAACTATTTAAAATTAAGCAACACATGTAAATCAGGTCGTGAAAAGCAATGCTCACCATCAGCAAGAACGTTGTAAACAGCAGTCCACAAGACTAAAGTGGAAAGGTTCAGATATGATTCCATAGCTACGACGAACTGCCTCACAAGTGTTCCTCGTGGCACAAAACTATTGACATCAGCAGTGCTCATCACAATCGTGATGGACTCACGAGGACAATAACCAAAATAGTAGACATGCTGTGAATATCAATACCATGGTCAAACCTTCGTATGCAAGGTTTGCTCACCTAGTGGCAAGACCAGTTTCAATTACCCAAAGAGTTATACGGACAGCGATATTATGTATTCTGGAAGGAATTGTTGAGAGGAGAGACCCTGAGATGGTACAGCTTACTGGTCAAATATGGTCCGCCTGCGTTCACGCTGCAGGAAATACACCAGACCGATCGTGATTACCAGATCGCAAACAGTAGCTGCAACGAGAGTCAGGATTGTCAACCAATTTAGTGCGTTTTTTCCTGTTCGGTTCGTGGGAATGTCTAGTGCCTTGGCTGCATCTACCAAAGTGCCAGTAAGAGTCAACATGCTGAAAATGCCACAAAACGCGGCGAGCATCTTGCTTCCTGAGAATTTGAACAATCTATAGATAAAAAACATCTGCAAATTTAAGTGGTATGGATTTTTACTTGAATCTATCGTTACCTACCTGAACAAGAGTGCTAATCAGAGGTGTCAGGACGATATTTGCATCTCGAGAGCTGGAGAATATCGTCACACCGTCAGGATTCTCGCAACCCGTGACGGTCAGAGTCCATGTCCAATACATGATGCAGATAATATGTGCAAATGTCAGCATCCTGAGATGAATCAGGCTTTGAAGTCGATATCGAAATGCATCGATACATACATCACGGCTGCCACCTACTTCGATTAGCTTTAACTAGAAGCAAGGCAGGCATAACACACCAAAATTTGGAAGACTCTTCTATCACCTGGAAAACGTTTATAGTAAGTGTATGTTTGCATTGTCGAGCACCCAAATAAGTAGCCAGCGATCATCGATCCAACCACCGCTGGTCCAATAGTTATTGCTGCTCCAGGCATTCTGAAGGCAAGGTGAGCGCATTGGATCGATCCAGATTATATATTCACGTGGGCCTCATATGCTGTGCGTAAGTCATAAGGACTAGATGTGTGAGGCGATCTGTCACCGAGTGGGCGTGCCAGTAAGATACTATCAGCGCAAGGAAACTGGATACGGAGCTCCGCACTATGGCAGCCATATAGAATGCATCAAAAAATAGTGTCAGGAACGAAGATCTTTCCTCGTATATCTTCGAGTTCTATCAAAAAAGATGAAGTTGAACTCGTAGTCAGTGCCCACTGGCAGCTGTCACGGTGCTATGCCAAGGTAGTCAAGCCAATTGTCATGGCTGTTGCTCGGCATTACCCAAAGAAGTCTAAACAATAAGATTTGAGTGAGCCAACGGAGATTACCTGACGACACCGGTCATATCACAACTGGCAGCAGTGCTAGTAGGAGTCCGAGTCTTCGTGGGGACTACTTTGTTTGATGTTGTTGAATTCGGAAGTCGCTGACTCATCCATGTGTGCCATAGTGTCTATAATTAAGTACCCTTTTCTGACTCGGTTGCTTCGAATCACGTTGATCTTACCTCGTGGAACTTACACTTGTCTCTCGAACAATGTCCCAAACATTCTCGGACGCTGACATCGAAGAGGAGCAAAAACATTTTTCTAATGTCATCGCAACATTCCAGCAATACGCCCAATATTCGGTAGGTATTCTTAATCATCATGCACCACACTGTCACCTTATGAATAACTTGCTTGTCCGACACATTCAGCTAGCAGCCAATAACAGGCGACGAAAAGACATCTACACACTTTCTCAGGGTGACAAAGAACTTCTCGACGTTCTTGGGTACCGACAAAAACTTCAAGAAGTGGATAGAGCCATTCTGGACAATGCAGAATTCTTGAAGCTGATTGTTGCAAACCCCGAGATCTTTGGCCATGATCTCGACTTTCCAAAAGATGCAGGTGATGATAATGCTGACCTTCGGACTTTTCATGACCTTTCGCATGGTTTGTACTTGTGCGAGACAGAATCCGATTTGTGCTTACCAATGCCAATGTTGTGCAGGTGACGCGCATTCACATTCTCATGGTCACCCGCATCACCACAGTCACTCGCATGACCATGAGAATGTCACCCCAGATCGCAGAGCTGTCAGCCAGTATCAGCGAAAGTACAAACCTACGGACTTCGACATGGACAAGTTGCGAAGCACTCTGAAGCAATTCGTACGGGACTGGAGTCAAGAGGTAAACTTATAATTCTACCCCTTTTCAAATTATGTAACTTGGGCTTGCATCCCAGGGAAAAGAAGAACGGGACACGTGTTATACGCCAATCAAAGACGCGCTGGTCGCGCATTTCTCGGACAAACCATCTCCGGAGTTAAGGTTAGTTCAGGCTCTAAACTTTCCTCTTGACAACATAAACGTATTACTCTACCAGACAAAATATCCGGGTGCTCGTTCCTGGTGCAGGCCTTGGCCGGTTGGCTTATGATGTTGCGAATTTAGGTTTGCGGAGCTTGTGTATCTCTCTTCCGATTTGGACTTAGTCAGTCCGCTAGGGTTCGCCTGTCAGGGAAATGAATTCTCTCACTACATGCTTCTTGCTTCTTATCTTATTTTAAATAGGTAAGAAAAGCAGGGATCTGAGTGTGCGACTAAACATTTGATTCTGGTCGCAGGACTGACGCGATTGGACAATACACCATATACCCTTATGTCCATTCTTTCTCCAACCTTCCTGACCGTGAAGCAATGTTACGCCCAGTGAAAATACCCGATGTCCTTCCCTCGGCCCTACCAGCTGGCTCGAATTTTCCTTGGTTGCGGGTATGATTATTGACAGGTCCTTTGAGTATCTTGGCTTCTCAACGTTTCAGGCGACTTCGAGGAGATTTATGGAACAGAATACGAAGAAGGCAATTTCGAACCACAGGCGGGGCAATGGGACGCTGTTCTGACATGTTTCTTTATTGATACTGTAGGGATTTGTTTCCGTTCAGGTGTATTTTATGCTAATGAAGCTAATTCAGGCAAAGAATATCGTCAACTACCTTCGTATAATTCACAGGATATTGGCACCTGGTGGAGTATGGATTAACATGGGTCAGAGCGGTAGCTTTGTCCCAGCTTTCCTGCTGACCACATATCAGGCCCGCTGCTCTGGCACTTCGAAAATAATGCAACCAATGATCCATCCATTGAACTTGATCTCGAAGAAGTCAAAATGCTGGCTCGAAAAATCGGTTTTGTGATCTCTGTAAGTCTTTATATCGCATTCCGCTGTGTAAATCTGACGAGAGCGATCTGCTATCAGGATGAGCGAACGATAGACACGACTTACACGAGTAATTCCCGGTCTATGCTGGGATATGTTTATAAAACTGCTTTCTGGACGGCGACGAAAGCTTAATGATAGATGCACCATGAGCTTCTCTCGTTTATTGAATGACACACATTGCTATCGTGCAGCCTTATGAGCGGCGTGTAAAATGGTAGCAACTTCGGTGAATGTCGGGTTGTGCAAAATACGTGCGTGTATCCGTCGACTGTTCATCCCTGGTATCAGCAATCATATTGCAGTTCTCAATATGCTTGGAGATAGGTATTTCTGCGCACTCATCGACCCGCTATCTCATCATTTTTCGCTATTGATTCCTGACACTGTCCTCCAAACCCATCCCAAAAGGCGGATCTCCTCGGGGCTCATCCCGGTAGTCTCAGGTAAGTAGAACAAACAGAATAGCCATCCTAGCAGACTTAGCCTTGTATAGAACTCGGCGGGAGTAATTTTCAGCAACCACATCAGTGAAGTTCATTTGGTAGTTACTTCACGCACCTATATTTCCAGATACTCAATTTCTGCGTTCAGAGCGCTGATCTCTGGGAAATAACTATAATGGCGAAAACTACAACATGAGGTCGCGTTCAAAGTCAACGTGCTGCCTTCTCATCGACTGGGAATCCTGCCACCTCTTCGTTCATCAGCCGCGGTGTCCAAAACCGCACAATTCCGCTGCCGTTCATGTCGGGTTCGTTCATGTGCACGAGCATTGATATTGAGCAAGCTAAATGCATTGCGCCCACAGGCATTATAGCCAAGAACTACAAGTGAGGCATCAAGGCGGTCCACGACACCGCCTTGTATGCGTCAGGAGGAAGATCGCGTAAAGTGGTGAACATGAGCACCAAGAGGATGGCACGTCCTATGATGTACAGGATGGGACACACTATGAACATAAATAACCATGAAATCATGGTTGCATACGGCAGGACTACTAGTGTGCAGAGTATTACTGGAAAACATGCAAAAACGCAGCTGGGTGTGCAAGATATAGCAATGGCGCTCATGCGCCAGAGGACCTGTTCCTGATATGTGGGGAAGGCAAAAAACCAAGCCATACAATGGACACCGCCAAATATGGTTGCCATAAGCAATCCAGCAAGCGCAAGAACTAGCTGGTCCAAAAGTTCGAGTGCGATACTGCCATCAAATGTTGGAACTCGGAGCTTTTGGAAGTCGGACGCGCCTAGTATTTCGAAGTATGAATCCCAGATCGTGAGAATCCAATTATGGTCTTCTGCTTCATTAACACTAAGGCAGACATAATCAACAGCAGTATAATTGTTGAGGCGCATACATACTTAATGTGATGCTCTGGCCTTGACTCGGTTGATTTCAAGTACACTGGATATGGACATTGCACGTTGAGAGGCTTGTTCCACCACGCAACATAACTTAAAAAATTGAGAACCGCAAAAGCCAGTGTCCCCACTTCGAGCTGGGTGGTTTCGAGGTGATAGATAGCACGCGTAATGAGCTGAATGACAAACCAAGTCACTTGAAGGATGATCAATCCTTTCGATATCGCATTTCCTTTGCTCTTGTCATGAATCCGGTTCACTGTTAGGGTAGGGATGTCGATAGACTTGTCATGTATCAGTTCGAGCATGCGATCAGGCCGTAGTGTGAGGTAGGGTTTCCCGTCCACATAAAGCATGAAACCACCCATCAACATAAAGAAACTGTGTGTATGAGTCCATGTATAATCTACGAATGTAGATGAGTCAATATTTAGGTGAGTACTCGGAATTGGACTTGCCTTCAGATTGTTCCGATACATAGGCTTTGAACATCTTTTTGAATGGCTTCGCAAGAGCCTGAGCATATGTACCCCCACATCCTGGAGTGGGCGCTGAAGTAATATGAATTTCCGAAGGAACAGTAGGGCCACCTTCAGGGTCTTGAGAACCAGGTGAGTCATTCTCCGGGTGCGGCAAAATAGAATGTCGAGCTCACCTTCGACGTTATATTGCTCTACAGTTGCTTCCAAGTCAATGGAACCATGATCCGAGTCTAATGACGTGCATAGTAAGTTGCTCAAGAAACGTATACAGTTTCGAATGGCACGGCCCACCTCCAGGCTGCTCTTGTGGCTGAGGAACACCGAAATGTCCAGATTCCTTGAACTGTCTGGTAACATGGCGAGCGCTAATCCACTGGCGCACAGCCCATATGACGATCAGTTCAGGAGCAATTAGTGCCATCATCATGATGCCAAGTCGTCGCCACAGAATAACAACGAGGCTGTCCTTAGGACTCGGGATATTGGGGTGAATGGCGCTATATACACACGCAAACATAGTGAGAAGTGAGCTGGACACGATGTTCCACATGGTTCTAGTATTTGTGAATAATGGGACTTCAGCTTCAGAAACGTTGCTACTAGTTGTGTTTGTAGTAGGTACAGCTTGGATAACTCCAAAGAGGTAAAGGAGGAAGCAGAAAGGTAGCAGGCGCATTGTGTTAGAGTATACCGAAGAGCCATCTGAATCCTGTTCACAGTTTATATGTTACGGCGAGCGTCAGCTTACAGCAAAGTAATGATCCGATCGATCGATCAACTAGATCTGGGGTGGTCACATGCACATAAACAGCCAGCCCATCAGAGTCGTTTGGACGGCGAAAATGGCGGTTTTACGATGCTTATAGTTAGACTAGTAGAAGCACGCGCGTTTAGGGTTAAAGCGTCGTTTACAAAAGGAACAACATTTTGTAGCAAAACGTTGATGCAGCAGCGGAATAAGGGCATTACCGAACTCACAGTGGCGAGCAGATGGAGATCACAAATTCGAGTACTGAGTTTAATTCATGATCGGCCGGGCCCTTCAGCACCTGACGCTCTGTCTCAACTAAACGTGTACATGGAATGTACGTCTGTTCCACGATAAGCAACCCTCGCTGTCTGACTGCAGTTGATAGCCGGGCCCAACGCATGTCCAACGGCAGGATTTAATCTAGTACCTTCTCTTCGGCCAACGACTGTCAAAAGTACCGGGTCGTACGGTTCGGTGCGGAGAATCTTCAGCTGAATGACTCTTCTTTCTTAGCGGTCATGCGCGCTAGTCTTGCGCGCACTTCGTGCATGTCATGGCCATTTCACTACGTTAAATACAATCCAAGAGTGTCACCTGAATGGGCGGCGATAAAATTATTTTGTCATGCATTCCATCATGGGCGCAAAGAGATTCGTACCTTCGTTCTTTAGCGCCAGCTGATGCCCTTGTCTGCATATCACCAGTTGACAGTACAACAACATTGATCCCAGAATTCTAACACAACATGAAAGTCCAATCCCATGTCCTCCAGACTTTTCAGAAACCGATCCCAGTCGTTGCACAGGCGGGGTGAGTAGAAGAGGGCTTGGACATCGACACTTTCGAGGATGACAAGGTCCTTATTCTCCTGTAAAACACGTGGAGTGTGACTCTGGTTCTGAGACATGGGAGTTCTTTAGGGCAGAGGGTTTATGTGGGGAAGGCATGGGCTGCTTGAGTGGACTCTGGAGAATGCAGAGGTTTGCGAGTGGATCTAAAGAGGGCTTTCCACGAGGGGTAATACTTGAGCGCCGTAGATCATGCTCGTTCGTAATTTCCTCCGTCCGCCACTGCTATTTTCAGGCTTTACTGGTGAATCGATGTTGTATAGTGGAGAACGTAACGGCTTGGGCAGGTAGGAGGATATGAAATGTTTCTTGTGTATTTCAATTTCGCAGCTATTAGAGACGGGATTCGTTGTGGGAAGTGAGGCGTTAATAGATGGGATCACGGGGCAGCCATCGATGGTGAGGCCTGCGTCGCCAAGAACAACAAGGAACGCCTACTTGCGAGTTACAGCGGCTTGGTAAGTTCAGATGAACAACTCACGCACCTTTCTTTCCTGAAATACAATTTATGCATGCAGAGCGCTGATCTCTGGGTAATGGCATAGTGGCGCACACTGCATGTCGGGTCGTGTCCAAAGGTAACCGTCTCTTCATCGATTGGGAATGCTGCTAATTGCTCATTAGCCTTCCACTTCATCTGCTGCAGCGTCCAAGCAGTCCTATTTTGCTGTCATTCATGATGATGAGCAAGACCTCAAGAATCAAAGTTTGTTTCGTTCGCGTCCATGTCATACCGTTACGTGCGGGTCATGTGATCGTGTCGCGGTTCATCATAGAGCCCCTTCAGTGAATTCACCCGTCTCAGATGGGCAGCCAAACGTGACAATGTACCAATGGGGACGGGCTATCCCATGTGGGCCCATGCCAATAATTGTACCATGATACATGGGTGGGCCGAGGTCATGTGTGTACCCGAGACAAATGGATGGGCCGGGGGTATATAATACAGACAGTAGTATAGGAATGTACTAGTATACAGGACATTATGGTGAATCCGGTCTTACAATGGAGACGGGTAGGCCAAGGGTAAAAAGTATAGACATTGGTATATAGATATACTACTATATAGGACATTATATGTAATGAATACAGTGTGCAGTGGAGACAGGTGGGCCAGAGGAATGCGTGTACCCACATGACAGGGATGGGCCGAGGCCAGTTACTGGAGAGGAATGGGCCAGGTGCAGAGGAGGAAACAGATGGGCCGGGTATACAGGTTGTCCGGACGGATGTGTGTACCCACCTCATACGGATGGGCTGAGGCTGATTACCGGAGAGGAATGGGTCAGGTGCACCTGAGGGAAACAGATGGGCTGGAGGAATGTGTGTACCCAGGGCGAACAGGTGGGCCGAGGGTATAAAGTGGGTTGGCTGGATGGATGTGTACCCACCTTACACAGATGGGCCGAGGCTGGTTTTGGAGAGCAATGGGCTGTAAACCAGGGCAAACAGATGGGCCGGATGTATATATGTACCCACCTTACATGGATGGGCTGGGCGGACATGTGTAACCAATGAGAATGGGTGGGCCAGAGTAATGTGTGTACCCAGGGCAAACGGGTGGGCTGAGGTAATGTGTATACCCAAGGCAAACAGGTGGGCCGGAGGAATGTGTGTACCCAGGGCAAACAGGTGGGCCAAGGGTATAAAGTGAGTGGGCCAGACGGATGTGTACCCACCTCACATG